GGAAATGTTCTTTTGTTGTTGTTCTAGTTTTTAAATCTAAGTTCAAATGAATTTTAATTTTTTTTAAAAGAAAGCAAACAGTATTGCTGGCACAGAGTTTAGGAGACAGCTGTTGGATTACCTACAATACCCAGGAGGGATATATCAGATCCCAGCGAGAGATCTTTCTGGGGGAAGGGAAATTTAGTGCTAGCTAGACTGTGGGAAATCAGGCACGTTGATGCATTGTTGACTGGGAGTTGATCCAGCTATTTTTAGAAAGCAATGTAGAGATGCATCAGGACACAGTGGATAGAGATGATCTCAGGAAGACTCAGTTTTAAGTCCTATCTCTGACATACCAGCAGTGTGACTCTGGAAAGTTATTAAACTTCTTGGGAGCTATAGGCAACTCTCTAAGACTGCGAATTACAGCAAAGGTAATCTGCATTAGTCAGTGGTTTCCTCACTGAAAGTTCCATAGGCCAATGAAATCACAGGTCCAATTAAAAGGGGGAAATGAAACTATCAAAAAAGTTACCAAATTCTTCTTATTCTTTGATGCAGTGATCCCACTGCTAGGTTTATGCTCCGAAGGAAATCAGCAACAAAAAGGAAATATTGATCTGTACAAAAATATTCATAGCAGCTCTACGTGTAATGGCAAAAAGTTGGAAACAAGCTATATCCCTAATAACTAGGGGATGTCTGAGTCAATTTTGCTAAGTGAATAAAATCAATCATTATTACTCCACAATAACATTACATATCAATGTAAATATTCATGCATATGTGTGTGTGTGTCTGTATAGTGCTTTGCAAACCTTAACATACAATATAAATATCAGCCGATGATCTTACCAGACTAAACCTAAACTGTATGACCTTCCTTTAAAAAGAATAAAGTATAAAACAATGAAGCTAAATGAAGCATCGGTCCCAATCACAGTTCAGGGTTGTTTTGTTTGCAGGGAAGATGAACTGTGATTTAATTGTGTGTTTGCTTGTTTATCTATTTAGTTTTTTTAAAAATATCAATTAAAAGAAGAGGGAGAACATTCCATTCATGTCACAGCTCCCAAGTCCTCCCTGAGCCTTCTCTTTTCCAGGCTAAACAACAGATCCTCCAATGACCTTGCCTCCTCTGGACCCTCTCCAGCTTGTCAGGGCCCTTCAGACAGCTCATTCTTCACATAGCCTTTTGCCTCCCTGCAATGAATTTATCATGTAATAGGGGATGCTATTCTCATCTGTGAACTGGTAGCTTTCTCCTCTACTAGACTGTGAGTTTCATTAAAAGAGATGATTAATATATGGCACTTTGCAAACCTTACAATGATATATAAATGTTGACTTAATGATCATGAAAACAAATGTATTTATAATAATTATGGGCAGTAAACATAGAAACTTTGCTTTGAGGCTTCAGATTTGGGTTCATATTCTGTCTCTGACCACCTGGCTGTGTGACCCTGGGCAATTCACTTGCCTTACTAGGCTATAGGACTGATGCCAAGAAAGCCATGGCATGTACACAAGGGAAGGTTGGGCAGATTGGTCACATTCCATGGTGTCTGTGATGCCAAGAGAGCCATGACATGAACAGAAGGGAATGTTGGGTACATTGGCCACATTTCATGATACTTGTGATGGTTGTGGGCTTGTCTCCACCATAACTCCACCACTCCCTTTCATCCATTATAGCTCAATGCTCCCCCGGCCCTCATCCCTGGAATCTCCCTAGATATAACCTTGAGCCTCATGGGCCTGGATGCTCAGAACAGAGCCTATGCTACCTTCCCTACATTTTTTATAGACCAAGGACCTTTGCCTACAATATCCTCAAGTGGCCCATCCAGACTTGCTTGAAGACCACCAGCCCTTGGTGCAGGCCATTACACTTAGAGATAGCACTAATTGTTAGGATGGTTGTCCTGACATCGGGTACTATTGCTCCTGGTTCTGCCCCCAGGGTCAGGCAGAGCAAGACTAATCATTGGTACTTGGCAAACCTTGCAATGCCCTATGAATGGAAGCTATGGATACAGTGTGACTAGGGAGCAAGAGAGACCTGGATTCAAGTCCTCCCTGTGACACATACTGGCTATGCAAACCAGGATTAGTTAGTTAACATTTTGATGCCCTTAGGCAGAAGTCTCCAAAGTGTTGGATATGGTCTAACCCCAAGGTTAGAGGCCTAATCCTTCTGATTATTCAAACAGTCAGAGGATGGGAAGGTTGGGCACACTCACCTCCCCATGATAATCAAATATGAGCTTGTTTCCAACACAACATCAGCTCCTTCACCCACTGAAGCTCAACATTTCCCCTCTGCTCCCTCCCAGCTAGGGTCTCCCCTAACTGGACCCCTCAGGTCTTAACAACATAACTAGACTGAGGCGCTTGCAGGAAATTTAGACCAAATTCTCTCCCTGCCCCCACTCTGAGATCTCTCAGTCTGCTCATCCAGGTGACCTGGTATTTGCCCCAGGTCTCCCTTAGGAGGCGGGCTCTGCAATCTGGCACAAGAGACATTGGATAGGTCTGACAATGTCACTCTCCTCTACTTGGGGAGCTCCAATAGCTCGTTGTTATCTTCAAGAGCAAATATAGAGTGAAAGCAGTGACTTGCTTTAGCTCTCCCCCAAACCCCTCCAAATACCTATAAAAAAGGCTGTAAGCAAATTCTAAAGCAGCAGAACCCACAAAAAGACAGAGTGAAACAAATTTCCAACCCAAGACAATCTAGGTGGTTGATGGAAAAGGTATATCTCTCCATGCTGGGAGAGGAGTGCAGTTTGGTGTGGGCAGGCCTCAGAGGACTGAATTGCAGGCAGCTGTGGCAGTTTCCAGACTTCTCAACCTACAAACACCAAATACAACTTAGAAGGTCGGTGGGAAGTCTGTTTCTGTGATGAGAGAGAAGATAGGTCTCAGGTCCAGTTTCAGAGCGTGGCCATGGGGCAGGGGCTGCCTCCTGAACTTCAGCATTTATTAGGGATATTAATTAGTCTAAAGATTTTTTCTCCATTTTTTCTCTCCCTGATTTAATTAGTAAGGCCATATTTGCATCATATAAAAATGGTAGGATCCTTTATATTCTTATTTTTGTAAACAATTTGCACAATATTGGAATGAATTGTTTTTTGAATGTTTGAAGACATCACTTGTAATTACATTTGGTCCTGGACTTTTTTACTTTCATTTATGGCTTGTTCAATTTCTTCTTCTGAGACTGAGTTACTTGAAATCTCCATTTTTTTGTTCTGTTAGTCTGGGTGTTTTGCATTTTTTGTAAAGATGCATTTATTTCATCTAAATCATCAGTTTTGTTCACCTACAGTTGGGCAACATGGAGCTTCCCACCTAGGACAAATCACTTCCCACCTCCTCCATAGGTTCCCAAACTGTATACAGGGCCATAACACTGCCAGGCTAGCCGTAATTAACAAGGACACAGCAGGTCCTGCAGTTGGTGGCTAGGCTGACACAAATCATCAATCTCCAACTTCTAGTACTCTCTCTTGATCCTGTCCATCACCTATCATTCTATATCCCTCCTACACTAAACTCCTTGAGAAGGTAATTTTTGATTGGTGCATCTACCATACTCTTCTGTCTCCTAAACTCTTGGCAATCTCACTTTGATTTCATTATTCAACAAAAATAAACTATTCAACAAACTCTAGTGACTCCCTGTTACCTTCAGAATCACATATAAAGTCCTATGCTTGGCATTTAAAGCCCTTCACAACTTGACTCCTTTCTAACTTTTCCAGTCTTCTTAAACTCTACAGCCCTCAGTGGATTCCACGATTCAGCCATACTGGCCCACTTGCTGTTCCTTGCACATGATACACCATTTCCACTCTGCCTTTGCACTGGCTCTTCTCCATGACTGAAATGCTCTCCCTCCCTACCTCAAACTCTCAGAATTCCTGGCTTCCTTTAAGATTTAGCTCAAGATCACTTCCTGCAGGAGGCCTTCCTTGATTCCATCTCACTCTCCTGGCCCCAGCTGCTGATGCCACTCCTTCTAAAGTTACCTTCCATGTATTCTGTATTTATCTTGTATGTTGTATGAAGTTGCTGATGACCCAAAGGAAAGCAGAACACACCGTGGGTATGAGGAGGCTGCAGCTTATAATTCACGATTAATCATGTGTAATATGTCATCAATGATATGAATGATTGTGAAAGGAAGTGGGCAGGTCATGTACCCATGGCAAAGCACGATGTCCAAGGGCATCTTGGACTCTGGAATGGTGAAGGGCCCAGGGGATGGAAGATCTCTAACGCCTTGGATCTATAGGCCTTCCATGGGGGATTTATAGAGGATGTGGAGAAGAACAGCATGACATACATCAGGTGCTTAATAAATACTTCTTGTTTGATTGATTCAAATATCAAAGAGTATAATAGGATTTTGTGGATTTTAGATTTATTTGAGGTAACAATTTTCATAGTATCACAGATCCTATATTTACAACATGGGGTGGGAGCTCCCTCACCTTAATATGAGGGATAATTTTTTCATAGAACTTCATAACTCAATGCTTCTTATTAGTCCTGACACATTATTCTTCCTGGATCTCAGGGAAGAGAGCTAGGTTCAGTAAGTGAGGGTGGCCAAGAGGCAGATTTAGACTTTATGTGAGGCAAAAATCTTCCTCCTCTTATAGTTGCCTGAAAGGCTTCTTTGGTGAGTAGAGAATTTCCCATCACTGGATGTCATGAACTAGAAGCTGCATAAGTCAGGAAGGGTGTAGAGGGAATTCCTGATCAGGTATGAGATGGACCAGATGTCTCTGAGAGACTTTCTAGCCTTAAGATTCTGTGAAAGCCTTTTTAGATACACTTTCTGTCTGTGTTTCTATGTCTCTTTCTGCATCTCTCTCTCTCTCTCTCTCTCTCTCTCTCTCTCTCTCTCTCTCTCTCTCTGTCTCTCTCTCTGTCTCTGTCTCTCTCTCTCTCTGTCTCTCTCTCTCTCTCTCTCTCTCTCTCTCATTCTCCCTTTTTCCCTTTTCTTCTTTTTTCCTTCCCGTCCCACCAGCTTTAAATTATACCTGTTTGCTACCCTTCCACAGCCCAATGAGAGGCTAACAGGGAAGAGGAAGGTTGGTAGTCCAGGCTTGGTTGACCCTGCTTGAAACCTGAGGCAGGATTCAGGCAAAATAAGCATGATAGAAGACGCCCACAGCCATGACTAGGATGGCGTTGACATTCACCACATTCCTCCAAAAGGGTTTTTCAGATGTGTCCGTCATCTGCTTCTGCAGAGCAGCCTTCTCTTCCTCGGTCAGCTTGGGGCCTTTCTTTGTCTCCAGCCCACAGAACGCATTCCAGGCTCTCTTGAAGAACCCTTGTGATTCCTCTGGGCCATCTGGAGGAAAGGGAAGAGAGGCAAGCAGTGAGGAAATGTGCCCATAATGGGTATTTCTAAGGCACATTTTGAGTTGTCGAAGGGCTTTACCAGGACATCATTTGAGTCTCACAAAAGTGCTGGGAGGTGGGCAATACAGCTATTATTGTGCCCATTTTGCAGATGAGGAATCTGAGGCTCAGAGAGATAAAGTGACTTCTCTATGGACACACAGCTAATGGGTTTGAGAGGCAGAATTCAAACTCAGCTCTCCCTGACTCCAAGAACAACATGCTAGCCAGTGTACCCTGCTCTAAAGGTGACTAGGAGGAAGCCGCTTCCCTGGCAAGTGATCTGGCAACAAAAACATTAGCTGTTCCCTGACATTACTAAAGGCAGCAACTAGAAGAAATGAGCCTGAAGGGAAAGAGTCCTTCAGGGTAACTTTGAACCTCAGCAATGTCAGGATCCTGGTCAAAGTTCGGGCTACCAGAGAAGAGGTTTCCACCTTAGCACCAGAAGGGAAAAGGGTCTTCCATTTTCAAGGTGGTCTTGAACAGATGCACAAGGGGGTCCTAAGTACTTTTAAGCACAGATTGGTCTCAGTAGCTGGGAAGCTGGCTCAGACAGTTTGTCAAAAAGAAAACTCCTTGCTGGAAGGCAGGACTTCTGAGACCCCAGGGGAGCTGGGCAGCCAGAGAGACAAGTGGACAATTAAACATCACCTTCTTCCCCCTGGTCTCCAGCTTCTTCTTGTCCATACTGCTCAGGGGTCAGGTCGATGCGTTCTTCCTGGCTATTGCGGAGAGCCCAGCAAAGGCGGTGCAGCTGTCCAGAGAGCACAGACAAGGGTTAGCCATGTGACCATGGCAATGAGCACCTCTCCTCACCAGAGGTGTTAGGATGAACCTCAGGTCAAGTTCTGACTGTCTCCAAGAAGCTTGACTTGATTCTTTCCAGATCTATGTTCTAAGGTCCTTCCAGATGGATCACATTATGTTCTAATTGCCCTTCTTGCTCTGACATTCTGTGTTCTAAAACCCTACCAAGACCTCACATTCTGTGTTCTAAGGCCCCTCCCAACTTTATCACTCTATGTCCTAATCTAAAGTCTCTTCTAGATCTGACATTCTGTGTTCCAAAAACCTTCCAAGAGCTCACATTCTGTGTTCCTAGGGCTCTTGCAAAACACATTCCCTGTTCTAAGGCCCCTGCCAGCTCTTACATTCCCTGTTCTAGAGTCCCTTCAAGCTCTGGTATTCCTGATTCTAGGGTTCCCTCTTAGCTCTCACATTCTACATGCTATGACCCCTCCCAATTTTGACATCTTTTGTTCCATGAAGTTTTTCATGACTTTGAGACTCATCTTACCTTTTTATGACTTCTTTCTCTGGTTCCTGGTTTTGCCCTCTGGGGCCAAATAAAACAAGTCTTATCCATCTTCCATATGGCAGTCCTTAAATTCTTGAGGACTTCTACCACATCTCTGCTCTACATCACCCCCAAGTAGTCTCATTTTCTGGCTCTATATTCTCGGTCCTTTCAACCTACCCACATCTGGGATATGAACTTCAAGCCCTCAGGCACTCTGGTCACTTTCCCATAGATGGTCTGTACTTTATCCACATCTTTTCTAAAATGGCTCTCCCATCACTGAACACAGTACTCTGGGTGAAGTCCCAGATATTTTCCTTCTCTCAATGAAGACAAATAAAATATCAGCTTTCTCAGCAGCTGAATCAAGCGGGTGCCCTATAGAGAACTTTCAGTCCACTGAAGTCCCCCCCAACTTTTCCGAAGTAATTACTATTAGGTCATGACTCCTTCATCTTATAAAGTTGACCTCTTGAACCTAAGTGTGGAATTTCATGCTTATCTCTACTACATTTCATCTTACTATAATCCAGCTCTGACGTGGTATATTTTGAAATGCCCCCTCTCTCTGAGAGTCTAGGGTTATATGACTCAAAGTCTTCTTGATCCAGGATTTGTAGTGAGGTAAAAGCTAGGGAAAGGGCATGATTTCATGATGACTAAAGGCAAACTCATACTTACATGTATGTCAGGAATAGGTTTTGTCATCAGAGAGATACCAAGAACAACCAAGACTGTCAATGTGAAGAGGACTATGGCAAAATAGGAGAAATGCCATCCACAGATGATGTCGGGACATTGGCTGGGGACCATGCAAGTGCCTGTCCCATAGGCAACCTCAGCGATCATACGAGTTAGACCAACCACAAGGCCAAACATCAGTCCCCAGAAAGCTCCCTGCCAAAGAAAGCCAAGGAGAGCAGTTTCAGTGTGCTTTCAGCACAAGGGACGACAAACCACACAAAGTTCGTCTTGTGGGATGGAAGAATTATTGAAAACCAGAATGACAACAACAACAACACCACAAAGCTTCCATATGGGATTCTAAGAATACCAGAATTGGAAGGGAAATTGAGCCCAACCTTGTTTACTTTTCATATGACAAAACCAAGGTCCAGATAACTGAAATAATTTCCTCCCAAGAAGTTGGCTCTTATTCAGGGCCCTTTCTACCATATATTTACAATTGACAATTGTTGATATTATGTCTTATTGCTGTGGGAAAAATTGGAATTCAGGGACATCCATGAGTGTGGGAGGACATGGCATTTTGAGTTCCCCAGGCGGGCAGAGTCCTTACCACCTCTACACACTGAATTCTCCCCATTCTGACTCACCTGCTCATTAACTCTCTTGCAGAAGATGGCAAGCAGGAACACAGCTGTAATGGGGGACCCAAGGTAGCTTGATATCGACTCCACATACTGGACCAATTCACCATTTTGACCCTCCTGAACTATTGGGATCCAAGCAATGCTGAGGGCAATCAGGACAATGATGAACAACCTGTAAACATATTTCTATCAATAGGATATTGAGCTATAACTAGGGTGAACAAGTTGAGGATTTTCCCATGGTGGGGGTTCTTATTCTCCAGGAAGATTCTTCTCTCTCCCCATGAGACCACAAGCCTTGTATTCCAAAGTACTCCAATAGCCCCAGACACCATAGGGATTGGAAAGGGGAAAGTGGGCTTTGAGAGAGTGTAAGGGAGCATAATTACTGGTGGTGGAAATTAAGAGAAGAAGGGGAAGGGATGAAGGGGTAAAGGGATGAAGATGGGTTTCCCCTTCTCCACACAGTCAGGCTATCTTTCCTGGGGCCTGCCTGACTTCCTCCCAAATACCAATGAGGTTTCATATTGCATTCTCTGGATAATGGTCAATAAAGACACCCTTGTTCTCTTGTCAGTCAGGTCCTGAACCTCACCATTATTCTTAATTTCTCCCTCTTCCTTTTTTTCCCCACATTTAATCCATCACCACTCTTATCAATTCTCTTCCACTACAGTTCTGATATCTGGCTGAGACAGTGTACAGCTGGGACATCAAAAATCATCTGGCCTAAGCCTTCACTTGGGAGGAAGGAAAACAAGACCAAGAGATTTGGCCACGATTACACAGCAAGTGGTAGAACCAGATTTCAGCTCAGGCTCTCCGACTCCAGAATTTGTGTTCCTCCCCCTGCATCACACTGCCTTCCTGGCATCTTTTCTTCCCGTACACCTTAACAGGCAGCCAGCAGTTTGGCTTAGTAGCAGAAGCTCTGGACTCTGAGTCCAAAGACATAAGTTTGGTTCCTTGTTGTGATATTCCTGGCTGGGTAACCCTGGGCAACTGGCTTGCCTTCTCTGCATCTTGATTTCTACATCCATAAAGCGGAGATAGAAATGCTTACCTTACCTTACTCATGGGTTGGTTGTGAGAAAAGAAAAATGTAAACCTGGCCAGAAAGGGACATTACACTTGTTGTTGTACCCAGGAACACATTCTTCAAGCTTTTTTTTCCCCTTTTTGTTGTTATCGTTGCATGTCCCAGTCATTGATCTCTCCATCCTCTTCTCTTTTGGCAGCCAGATAGTACAATTCATAAAGTACTGGGCTTGAGGTCAGTAAGACCTAAGTTCAAATCCATCTCAGATACTTACTGGGTATGTGATCCTGGGCAAATCATTTCACCCTGTTTGCCACAGTTTCCTCATCTGTAAATGTAGAGATGGAAATGGCAAAGCACGCCAGTATTTGTACCAAGAAGACCCTAAATGAGGTCATGAGGAGTCAGACACGACTGAAAACAACTAAACAGCAAGTGGTATTCCTAGATCAAAGGCTGTGCGTAGTTTTATAGCCTTTTGGCCATAGCCCCAAACTTTTCTCCAGAATGACTGAATTCCACCAACCATGCACCTGTGTACCTATGCTTCCACAACCTCTTCAGAATGTATCATTTTTCTTTTCTGTCATGTTAGCCAGTCTGATAGATGTGAGGTGGTTCCCTAATCAGTAATGATTTACAGCATTTTTGTGCAACTATTAGTAGCTTTGATTTCTTCTTTTGAAAAATGCCTGTTCATCTCTTTTGACCATTTATCAATTGGGGAACGCCTCTTAATTTTATAAATTTGGTTCATATACAAATCATAAATGTGTGAACCTTATGTATTTGAGAAATGAAGCCTTTATCAGAGAAACTTTCTATAAATCCCCCCCAACTTCTCTGCTTTCCTTCTAATTTGGGCTGTATCCGTTTTGTTTGTGCAAACCTTTCCTAATTTCATGCAATCAAAATTATACATTTTGCTTCCCTTAATCTTCTCTGTCTCTTGTTTGGTCACAATCGCTTAGTCATAGATCTGATAGGCAAAATATTCCACACTCCCCAAATTTACTTATGATATCACCCTTTATGTTTAAATCATGTACCCATTTTGAGCTTATCTTGGTATACAGTATAAGTTGATTTCTGCCAAAATACTTTCCAGTTTTCCCAACGATTTTTATCAAATAGTGAGTTCTTGCCCCCAAAGCCTTGATCTTTGGATTTCTTAAATACTAAATTCCTATGATCATTTAGGACTATGTATTGCGTATCTGATCTATTCCACTGATGATTAATGCTTTGTAACATAGTTTGAAATCTAATACCTGCCAGGCTATCTTCTTTCATATTTTTTCATTGATTCCCTTGATATTTTTGACTTTTTGTTCTTCTAGGTGAATTTTGCTAGAATTTTTTCTAGCTCTACAAAATGACTCATTGCTAGTTTGCTTGATATGGCATCCATAAGTAAATTAATTTAGGTGGAATTGTCATTTTTATTATATGGACTCAGCCTACCCATTAGGAATTAACATTTCTCTAATTACTGACATCTGTCTTTAATTGTGTAAAAATTGTTTTGTAATTGTGTTCATATCATCCCTGGGTTTTTCTTGATAGATAGACTTGATAGATAGATAGATAGATAGACTACCAAGTATTTTATATTGTCTATAGTTATTTTACGTGCAATTTCCCTTTCTATCTCTTCCTGCTATATTTTGTCAGTAATACATAGGATATTTCAATTTTGCTAAAGTTGATAATGATTTCAACTAGTTTTTTAGTTGTTTCTCTAGGGTATTCTAAGTATGCTACCATATCATGTACAATGAGTGATGGTTTTGTTTCCTCAGTGCCTATTTTTATTCCTTCAATTTATTTTTCTTGTCTTCTTCCTATAACTAGAGTTTCTAATACAATATTAAATAATAGTGGTGATAATGGCCACATTTATTTCACTCCTGATCTTGTTGGGAAGGCTTTTATTTCATCCCCAAGAGAATGAATTGGGGGGGGGGAACATTTTACTAGCTCCTAATGGAGCATTTTAAAAACATTTTTAAAAATCAAAATACATCAAGTCCAGGAAAAAATAGGTTTGGAATCAGGAAACCTGAGTTCAAATCCAATAGCTGCTATTTATTAACTGTGTAACCTTGGGCAAGTTGCCCCATCACTTTTGGCATAAATTTTGCAATCTACAAAATGAGGTTGGATTTGAAAATCTCAAAGCTCCTCTACCCCAGCTCTGAAACGCTTTGGTCTATGATCCAAATCTTCCCTGTTTCTGTTAATGTGCCCTAATCCATGGAGTCCTCAAAGTGTGCAATCTCAGTGTCATCCTTGATCCTTCCCTCCCCATTGATTCCTATATGTAATCAGTTACCAAATCTTGCTACTTCTGTGTCTGTACTATCATTAACATTCATTTCCCTGTTAATACAACCACCATTCCCTCTCACCTAGACTATGGCAATAGCTTTCTATTTGGCCTCTCTGTCTCAAAGTCTCTCCCCACTCCAAGCTGTCCTGCAAACTTCAATCAAACTGACATTGCTGCAGCATAGATCTGGCCATTACACTCCCTTCTACTAAAAAATAGTCTTCAATAGCTGCCTAATGCTTCAGGATCCAATATAAATTTTTCACCTTGACATTTTTAAAGCCCTCTACAATCTGCTTTCCACCTACCTTTCAATTTTATATCATACAATTTTCCCTAGCACACTCTCTATTCTAATCAAATTGGCTGCTAGCTCCTCTGCACACGTTACATTTTCTCTCCAGCCTCTATGTATTTGTATTAGTGTTATCTCATGTCAGGAATACACTCACTTTTCACCTCCACATTGTAGAATCTCTAACTTCCTTCAAAGACCAACTGAGATGCCACTCCCACCAGGAAGTGTTACTTGATTTCCACTCCCTCCCCCCAGGTATTAGAATACTCTTCCCTTTAAATTTTTTTTTTTAAATACTTTTAATTTATTTATCTGGGTACATAGGGTATCCCTCCAGCATAATGGAAGATCCTTGAGGGCAAGAACAGTTTTTTTCATTTTATTTTCTATTTTCTAGGACCTAGAAGAGTAACTTACACATATTAGATGCTTCCTATGTATTCATGAATTTTGACTTGAATCTATTATTGTTCAAGTTTATAGGACTAGGAAATCTCATGCTAAGCTTTCTATAATTTAGCTGTTGATCACAAACATGGCTTCTTAGGTCTTGCTAGCCTACTTCTACACAGAAGGCCATCCATCCTGTTTACTTCTGTATCATTTATAAGATGCATAGGTTTGGGGGCAGCTAGGTGGTGCAGTGGATAGAGCACTGGCCCTGAAGTCAGAAGGACCTGAGTTCAAATCTGGCCTCAGACACATATCACTCACTAGCTGTGTGACTCTGGGCAAGTCACTTAACCCTAATTGCCTCACAAAAAAAGAAAGAAAGAAAGAAAGAAAGATGCATAGGTTTTGGGGAAGAGAATTCCAACACACCCCAGCCAAGATGTCCACAGGGCTATGTCAGCTAGGCAAAGCAGTGGACTGGGTGCTAGATTCAGAAAGACCTCATTTCCAATACTTCTTCAGACATTGACTAGCCATGTAAACTTTGGTAAACCACATATCCTCTCAAAGCCTCAATTTCCTCATCAGTCAAGTGAGAATATTAAGAGCATCTACTTTATAGGGTGGTTATGAAGATCAAATGACATAATATATGTAGGTCCATTTACAAACCTCAAAATGCTGCTATCATAAAATATTTATTATGTATTATAACAATATATTATAAAATGCTAGCTATTATTACTAGCTCTGTTACCTTCCTGCTATCAGGAGCTCTCTTTCTGATGCTCGTTTTCGAATTTTGGTATAGATGTCAATGGTGAACAGAGTGCTGGAACTATTGAAGACAGAGGTGAGGGAACTCAAGAGTGATGCCAACACGGCTGACAACATCAGTCCCCGAAGTCCTTGAATAGTAACAAAAAAAAAAAGAAGAAGAAATTATCTTCATTTGCACTTATGAGCCAACATCCAAGGCCTTATGCTGTCCTTCTACAGCTCCTGAACCTTTGAGTCTAATCCAAGCACAAAATGTCAGAGCTGGTAGGGTCTTAGAAAAGAGAGTGACAGAGCTAAGATAGATCTTAGAAAGAGATTGGCAGACCTAAAAGGGACCTTAGAATATAGAACATCAGTGGGCAGCTAGGTGACACAGTGAATAGATCTCTGGCCTTGGAGTCAGAAGTTCAAATCTAGCCTCAGACACTTACTAGCTATGTGACCCTGGGCAAGTCACTTAACCCTGATCACCTCAGGGGGAAAAAAAATACATACATATATACATATACATATACATATATGTATGTATGTATGTATATATAACGTCAGTATTGGAAGGGACTATATCACATAGGTCAGAGCTGGACAAACAGAGGCTGACCTATACTCAATTTTCATTTGCCACTTTGAATGCTAATATGGGAACCAGAGACCCTCTTATCCACATTTGAGGAAACCTTGACATGAGCCATACTTGTAATTTATTTTGAAGATTTCCTGGAATAATTTCAGTTGGGGTCAATGACCCAAAATGACTCTTCAGAGATTGGATTTGAACCCAGGTTCTCTTACTCCAGAGACAACGCACCTTCTAGAGTAGAGCAGAGATATGGGTTTGAATTTGCCCTTCTGCCTTACTAGCTATGTGACATTGGAAAGTTCCTTCACATCTCTGAACCTTGGTTTCTTCCTGTATGAAATGGGGTTAATTATGATGAATCATACTTATGCTACCTGCTTCACAAGGATAGTTGAGAAGAAAGTGCTTTATAAATTTCCAAGTCCTGGAGAAATGGGAGACATGATTATCATGAAGTTATCACCACTCTCTGAGCTTCACTGATCTTTTCAATGAGGGCTTGGACTAAATGATCTCTAAGGTTCTTTCTGGACTCCAGAGTTGTATACAATCTAATCTCCATTAGCTTTGTTATTTGCCAGGTAATCATGGTCAGCTCTTGGGAGTCCTCATTGACATGAAGTCAAGGGAATGGTCTGGTTGACCTCTAGTCCTCTGGTTTTTATGATTAGATGATTTTATGGAGATGCTGATCTTTTTTCTACTTTTTTCAGATAAGTAAAGTATATCAGGCATTCTAGATTAGCCTGTTGGATCAATGGATCATAGACTGATATCTGGAAGAACCTTGGAAACCATCTTGTTCAGCTCCTTCATTTTACAGAGAAGGAAACTGAGGCATACAGGGGTTAAGTTACTTGCCAAATGTCTCAGAACTAATCAGTGTCTGCAAGTTTTGAACCCAGTTCTTAGGTTTAAGACTCCTTTCAAGGATTGAAAGAAAGTAATTTACAAAGAGATAAACTGAATGTGCTATAAGAAATGATAAACAGGCTGACTTCAGAAAAACCTGGAAAGACTTATATGGTCTGATGCTGAGTGAAGTGAGCAGAACCAAGAGGACTTTGTACACAGTAACAGCCACATTATGTGATGACTAATATTGTTAAACTGAACCCTTCTCAGCATTACAAGGATCTAACACATCTCCAGAGGCCTTGGGATGGAAAATGCTGTCCACATCCAAAGAAAGAACTATGGAAGTCGAATCCCTATCACTTATTTTTACCTTCTGTTGAGTTTTGTTTCATCTTTCTGATGGTTCCTCCTATTGGTTTTAATTTTTACTTACAACTTCACTAATGTGAAAATATGTTTAATGGGTATGTAAATGTAAAGCCTACATCAGATTGTGCGCCATCTTGGGGGGGGAAGAGGGAGAAAAATTTTCAACTCAAAAGCATATGGAAGTGATCGCTGATAAATCAAAATAAATTAATAAAAAAAAATAAAACAAAAAAAAAGAAGAGATAAACTGAAATAAGTCCAGAAGTGGCCATGAAGAATAGTGAGGATCAGAAGAGAGGACGTGATAACTGCGCTCATATGTTAGAAGGCCTATCCCAAGAGAGTGGGATTAATCTTGTTTAGTGCGGCCCCAGCGGGCAAAACCAGGAGCCCTGAGTGGAAGTTACAAGAAGGCAGAAATAGGCCCAGCGCTAAAAAAAAAAATCTTAACAATTGGCATTATCCTAAAGTAAGATGGGCTGCCTTTGGAGGTCTTCAAGCAGAGACTGGGTGACCCCTTGTTGGGTACAATGTAGAGGGGATTCTTAGTGAAGGCCAGATTGAAATAGATGATTCCTGAGGTCCTTCCCAACCCTAGGACTCAGTGAGAAAGGGCTCCATTACTTGCCAGAGACCACTAAAATCACTGTTTATGACACCCTTTGGTGAATGACATGAAGACCCCATAGGGACACTAACCATTGGGCATGAGCTCTACCACCAGCTTCGGGTAAGCCATGTTGGTGCAGCCCACACTGGTTCCACAATGTTTCTCACATTCAGAAGGTATGACACAGGCTATTTCATCTGTGGAGAGAGCCAGAGAGAATTCTGGTCAGCCAGGGTCCAAGCAGTGAAGAGAGCCAAGGCCACTGGTATGGTAGCTAGAACAGGAGCTTCTGAGTGTCTGCCTTGGCAGTGGCTGATGGGCTTCATCTGGGGCCAAGACACTCTGCCTGTCAGCTCCCAGGTAGAAGTGGCCCCCTTGAGACATGTGCCCAATTTAAGAATTGGGGCTAACAACTAGTAGGGCACAAAAACCTGTCTCTCTGTTTCCCACTTTTTCATTGAACTCTCCCAGGATGTCTTGACTCCTAAAAACATATTTGAAAAATGCATTTTCTTGCTGTCCTTGTTATACCCCTTGAAGACAGTGACTTGTTTTTGTCTTTGTATTTCCAGAACCATCATAGTACTTGCCACATTACTAAATAAATGCTCATCATTTGGTTGATTACATCACAATCATTTTTGAGGATTAAAAAAAAAAAACTTCTGTCCCTGCCCCAAGATTGAACAAAGAACAATAACTTCAGTAACATCCAACAAGGTGACTTCATCGGATAATGTATACAATATTCTTTATCTAGACCAGGATTTTTCATCTTTTAGAAAGTGTCCTGGACTCCGTAGGCAGTCTGATGGGACCTTTAGACCCCCCATCTCAACACAATGTTTTTAAGTACATAAAATAAAACAAAATACATAGGATTCAGGCACAGCTAAGAGGGACAGTGGATAGAGTACCAGCCCTGGAGTCAGGAGAACCTGAATTCAAAGCCTGCCTTAGACACTTACTAGCTATGTGACCCTGGGCAAGTCACTTAACCCCTATTGCCAACAACAACAACCAAAAAAAAAAACCCATTGGATTCAAAAGGAAACCAATCATACTGAAACAAGGCAACCAAAAGAGGATGTTTTTGAAGTTCACAGACCCCCAGGTTAAGAACCCCTGATTTAGAGAACATTTTTCTATACTCAATCAGTCAATCGACATTTATTAGTGCCTACTATGTGCCAGGCATAGTGCTAAATGCTTGGGATACAAAAAGAAGCAAAAGACACTCTTTACCCTCAAGAGCTTACAATCTAATGGGAGGAGATAACATGCAAACAAATACATTCAAAGAAAGCCATATACAATACAAATGGAAAATAATTAACAGACAAAAGGCATTACAATTAAGAGGGGGAAGACTTTCTCTAGAAGGTGGGATGTTAATTGGGACTTGAAGGAAGCCAAAGAGGTCAGTAGTCAGAGCAGAGGATGGAGAGCTTTCCTGGCCTGGGGCATGAAAGAATGTCTGGAGCCAAGAGAGGGAGGGTCTTATTTGTGGAACAAACAGGAGGCCAGTGTCACTGGATCAAAGAGTACAGGGTGGGGAGCCAGGTGTAAGAAGACTGGAAAGGGAGAAGGAGCAAGGTTGTGAAGGGCTTTGAATGGTAAACAGAAGTTTGTATTTTCTCCTGGAGGCAAGAGGAAGCCAATGGAGCTTATTGAGTAGAGAGTGACATGGTGGGACATAAACTTTAGGAAAATTACTTTAGATACTGAATGAAGGATGGACTGAAGTGAGGAGAGACTTGAGGCAGCATACTCCCCCAGCAGCTATGGCAATAGTTCAGGTGTGAAGTGATGAGGGTCTGCACCAGGGTAGGGGCAGTGTCAGAAGAGAGAAGGGGGCGTATTTGGGAGATGATGCAAAGGCATAATCAACAGGCCTTGGCAAAAGCTTGAATATGGGGGCAGCAAGGTGGTGCAGTGGATAGAGCACTGGCCCTGAAGTCAGGAGTAGCTGAGTTCAAATCCGGTCTCAGACCAAACACTTGACACTTACCAGCTGTGTGACCCTGGGCAAGTCACTTAACCCCAGCTGCCTTAAAAAAGAAAAAAAGAAAGAAAAGCTTGAATATGGTGAGGTGGGAGATAATGAAGAGTCAAAGATGCCATCTAGGTTGGAAGCCTGGGGGACTAGGAAGAGGGTGTCGCCCTCAACAGTAATAGGCAACGTGTGTGGGGTGGGGGAAAAACAATCAGTTCTGTTTTGGACATATTGAGTGTCACATGTCTACTGACATCCAGTCTGAGATGTTTGAAAGACAGTTGGAGACCCATTTTAGACTTGTATTAGCCTTGAGGTAGATATTCCTTATTATCTGTTTTGTTATGCCATGATTTATTTTTCAGTTCTGTTACTCAACATTCAACTTCCTTTTAGGGTTATTTGAATGATCTCTCAAAGTAGGGAGGCAGCATGATAAAACAGAATAAACATTGGTTCTAGTGCCAGAGGACATGGGTTCAAATCCAACCTCAACTATTAGCAGTGTGACCATAGTGACTTCTCTTCACTTCTGTGTGCCTCAATTTCTTCAACCGTAAAATAGGGGTAATAATAGTACCTGTCTCTTAGGGTTGTTGTAAGGCTCAAATGAGATAATATTTGTAAAGTGTTTAGCACAGTGCTTGGTACATAATAGGTGCTTAATAAATGTTTGTTTCCTTTTTGTTCCTTCCTTCCTTCCTACTACCTGTCCTCTGACTCCATTCTGCCTTTAGATCTATGATCTTATCTTTAATTCACATGGTAACCATTGTGTCAGGAAGACTAGGGTCAGTTCAAATCCAGTGTCAAATACTTCCTAGCTATGTGACCCTCGGGGCAAGTCACTTAACCTCTGATTGCCAGACAAAATAGATCCAATAGATTCAATGGAAAAGGAAATGGCAAACTACTCCAGTATCTTCACCATGAAAACCCCAAATGGGGTCATGAAAGATTGGATACAACTGAAAAACAACAACAAAAGCCACCATTATATATTGTTCTCTTGCTTCTGCTGATTTTGTTCTGCATCAATTTATGCAAATTCTTCTGGGTTTTGACTAAATGGCTCGTGTTTTTCATTGCTAACAGTACGTTAACATTTTAGTATATTCATATGACTCAGTTCTTTGAGCCATTCTCCAATCAATGGACACCTAATTTGTGCCAGTTCTTTGCTACCACAAAAGTGATGCTCCAAATATTGTAATATTTGTCGTTGTGAACCTTCATCTTGTCACTGATCTTCTTGGGGCCTACGCTCAGACATGGGACTGCTGAGTCAAAGGGTATGAAAAGTTTCATCATTTTTCTTGCATAATTCCAAACTGCTCTCCAGAATGGTTGGGCCCATTCACAGGTCCACCAACAGTTTATGCATACCTGTCTTCCCACAGCCCCTCTACCATTGATTACTCTCATTTTCTGTGATCTTCATCAATTTTCATGGTTTGACATAAAAACCTAGAGCTATTGTAATTTACATTTGTCTTATCTAGAGCATATTTTCAAATGTCCATTCATAGTTTAAAATTCAGGTGGAAATAAAATTAAATTACAGGTGAAAATAGATGGTAGTGGGAAACTTCAATCTTCCCCTCTCAGAACTTGAAAAGTCTAACCAAAACATAAATAAGAAAGAAGTCAAGGAAGTGAATAAAAATTTTATATAAGCTAGATATGATAAATATCTGGAGAGAGTTGAATGGGAATAGAAAGGAATATACCTTTTTCTCAGTGCTACATGATATCTTTGCAAAGATTGACCGTATATTTATTAGGGCATAACAATTTCATACTTGAAAGCAGAAAAATAAATATTAAATGCATCTTTTTCAGTTCACAATGCACTAAAAAAAATATTTAACAAGGGACTACAGAAACATAGAATTAAATCTAATTGGAGATTAAACAACCTAATATTAAGAAATGAGTGGGTTAAAAGAACAAATCATAGAAACAATCAATAATTTCATTAAAGAGAATGACGATAATGAGGCGATATATCAAAACTTGTGGGATACAGCAAAAGCAATAATCAGAGGAAAATGTTCATCAATAAAATAGAAAAAGAACAGACCAATGAATTGGATATGGAATTTTTAAAAACTAGAAAAAGAACAAACTAAAATTCTCAAACTAAACACTAATTGAGAGTCCTAAAAATTAAAGATGAGATTAATAAAATTGAGTTTAAAAACCACTGCATTAATAAATAAAACTAGGGGTTGGTTTTATAAAAATAAAACAATAAAATAGATAAAACCATTGGTTAATATGATTTTAAAAAGAGAGAGAAGAAAACCAAATCACTAACATTGAAAAAAAGGATGAATATGCCACTAATGAAGATGAAATTAAAGCAATTAGAAGGATTTTATTTTTGGTGAAGCAATTGGGGGTTAAGTGACTTGCCCAGGGTCACACAGCTAGTAACTGTCAAGTATCTGGTCTGAGACCAGATTTGAACTCAGGTCCTCCTGACTCCAGGGCCAGTGCTCTATCTATTGTACCACCTACCTGCCCCTAGAAGGAATTATGTTGCCCAATTATATGATAATAAATTTAACAAATTAAGTGAAATGAAAGAAAATTTACAAAAATATAAGCTGCCTAGATTAGCAGAAGAGGAAGTAGAATATCTAAATAGACCTATTTGAGAAAAAGAAATTGAATAGGCCATAAATGAGCTTCCTAAGAAAAATCACCAGGACCAGATAAATTTACAAGTGAATTCTATCAAACATTTAAAGACCAACTAATTCCAATACTAAATAAATTATTTGGAATAATAGGCAAAGAAGGGGTCCTACCAAACTCCTTTTATGAAATGAATATGATACTAATACCTAAACCAGGAAGAGTAAAATCAGTCCCCATGCTGTGAGGCTGGCTGGCTGCTGATGCTGCTGCTCTTGTATCTTGCTCCCCTCCTACCCCAATGAGAAAGACCTTTCCTGCTGTGCTAATAAGCTGCTTCCCTGCTCTTAGACCAATTCTGAGGTGGTTTTCTAGTTTTTTGGAGGGGAATTTAAGAGGCCTTCAGAAGTGTCCTTCCTCATTCTACCATATCGGTACCATAAGTCCAACAGGATCAGATCTCAAATTATGTTATGATAAAGTCAGTAACTATCAAAATTACCTTGTACTGGCTAAGAAATAGAAAGGTAGATCAGTGGAAAAGAGTAGGTATACAATCTTACAGCAGCAAATGACTGTAGTAACCTTGTGTTTGACAGGTATAAAGACTTAAGCTTTGGGGATAAGAATTCATTATTTGGTAAAAAATGCTGGGAAAGCTGTTAAGTAGTCTGGCAGAAATTGAGCATGGGCCAATATCACATGCCGTTTACCAAGATAAATGGATACATGACCTAGATATAAGGAAGATATTACAAGAAAATGGGGTAATTACTTAACAGACTCATGAATAGGTGAACAATTTATGAATAAACAAGAAATAGAGAGCAGCATAAGGTGTAAAATGGTTAGTTTTGATTGTGTTAAATTAAAAAGGGTTTGTATGAAAAGAACCAATGTAACCAAGATTACAAGGAAAGCAGAAAATTGTGGGGAAAGTTTTATAGACAGTTTCTCAAATAAAAGTCTGATATCTCAAATACATAAAGAGCTTTATCAAGTCTATAAGAATATGAGTCATTCCCCAATTGATAAATGGTCAAAGAATATGAACAGGCAGGTTTCCAATGAAGAAATCAAAACAATTTATGGTCATATAAAAATGCTTTAAATCATTCTTGATTCAAGAAATGCAAATTAAAACAGTCTTGAGATGTCATTTAACACTTCTCATATTGGTTAAAATGACAGAAAGAGAAAGTGACAAATGTTGGAGGGGATGTAAAAAATTGGGGGACTAATTCACTGTTGGTGGAATCGTAAACTACTCCAACCATTTTAAAGAGTAATTTGGAATAATGCCCAGTGAGTTATACAACTGCCTATACCCTTCAACCCAGCTTCAACCCAACCAATACCACTATTAGATCTGTTTCCCAAGATGATTAGGGGAAAAGGAAAAGAACCTTTATGTTCTAAAAATAGTTATAGCAGTTCTCTTTGGGATAGCAAAGAACTTGAAATTGCAGGGATGCCTATCAATTGGGGAATGGCTAACAAGTTGTGGTATATGATTGTGATGGAATACTATGGTGCTATAAAAAATGATGAGCTTGATGATTTTAGAAAAACATGGAAAGATTTGCATGAAATAATTAAGAGTGAAATGAGCAGAACCAAGAGAATCTTGTATACAATAATAACAATATTGTTTCAAGAACAACTTTTAGTGACTAAGTCATTTTGACTATTATAAATACCCAAATTAACTACAAAGGACTTATGAATGAAGATGCTCTCTGTATCCAGAGAAAGAATTGATAAGTAGATGCATTGCATAGTATGGATTTACATATATATGTGTAACTATGCATATTGTATGTACATATATTTACATATATATGTAAATATGCATATGTAATGTCTAATGGTAGCCATTTCTAGAGTGGAGAGGAGGAGCAGGAAAAGAAAGTTATGTGATAACTTTATTATATATTTAGAAGGAAAAGTAAGTTGTACATAATACGGTTGCAGTTTCATGTGCAAAAAATAAATTTAAAAAACCGCAACAAAAAAGAAAGAAAAGAAAATTAATCCACATGTCTCATTCTACAAGTATTCCAGGTAATTGAGGTTCCATCACAAACTGAAAATACCATACAGATCTGGATCCAGAACCAGATCTAGAACCAGGAGGAGCCTTAGAGGCCACCTGCTCCAACCCCTTCATTTCATGGATTAGGAAGCTCAGGTCCAGTGATGAGAGCGACTTACCAGGTGGTAAGTGGGAATCACATGGCTAGTAAGTTACAAGCTTAGACCCAAACTCGGGGCTCATTGATCCCAAGTTTAGTGCTCTTCCCCTGTGCTATATCCTTCCAAATTACAAGTTCCCCTGAAGATAGTTCATAGCCCAAAATGAGATCTTGAAGGGAAAAGGATTTGGAGAGAAACACACGATAATAGCATTTATTACTGACCACAAAGTAGAGAAATGTGTGGCCAACACTTGAACCACCACAGCATTTCCTAGGGCCTGAGGGTGAGTAGATGTCAGGGAGGACTTACCTGGGTACAGAATGCGGCTAATCATACCAGGCATCACCATGAGGAAAAGGATCAGCAGCTTCAAGTAGCCACACAAAATGCAACCAGCCTTCACATGGGACAGGTTCTTCCCTGAGAGGCATCGCTGCACAATCACCTGCCAGGGAAACAGAAAGTGTGGATGGTGCAGGGCCACAGGGCTTCCTTACTCAAATTAAAAGGTGTCCCTGCCTAGGGAGGGGGATGTGGCCAGATTCTCATTTCAAACAATGGGTAGAAGTTCCAGATAGGCAGACCAGCTCAGTGTAGGAAAGAATGTTCCAGTATTAGAGTTGTCTGGCACTCTAGCACTGGAATGGACAGCCTAGGAGTTAGGTAGTAAGTTCCCCACCACAGGAGATATCCAATCAGAAGATGGACAATCACCTACTGATAATGCTGTAAGCAAGCATTTGGACTATTTGGCCTCTCTGATAGTGAGGTATTTGTTTTTGTTTTGTTGTTTTGTTTCATTTTGTTCTTCTTGTTTTTGCTGACCAAAATACAGCACTGAAGCAAATAGGAGAAATGTATCACAGCAGAAAAAATATTATTTTGCTGATTGTGCCCTGCCAGGCCTAAACCTCAGATCACTCCCACCTTCCACTACCTCCTACAAATGTGTTACTGGAGGAAGGTGGAGAAATCATGAAACTGTTCTGATCGGGTCCAATACAAATTTATGCTACACAGCCTCGACTGGGCCCTCACTGGTGCTTGGCAATCCTCCTATACTGCCCTTCTCAACTTAATGCTCCCATTCTCCAAAGTGGCTCTTCCAGACCTTTTAATCCCTTTAATTCAAATCTCCCATGGTTCCTCCTGCCCCCACTTTCTCAGCTAAGAACCTTAAGAATCTCATATTTAACAGGAAAAAAATTGTATCCATTCTCCATGAACGCCCTCTTCTCCTTTCCCCATCTCCTATCATTCCTAGGCTACCCCCTTTTCCTCCTTCACCCCGTCTCACATTATAAAATGGCCCAAGTCCTTACCAAGGTTAGCCCTTCTACCTTCTCAAGTGACTCCATTTCATATTGTCTCCTCCAACACATTGTCTCCTCTCTCTGTCATCCCCACTCTCACTTATCTTCAATTTCTCCCTTGTGCTGGCTCATTCCCTACTGCTTAAACACATGTCCATGTCCCTCCCATCCTGAAAACACTCTCACTTGATCCTTCCATCCCTACTGCTGTAGAAGACGACACCATCCTCCAGACTCACACCCCAGGAGGCATCCTGGACTCCTCACTCTCTCTCACTTCCCATATCAAAGTTGATGCCAAGGCCTGTGAATTTCACCTCTGCGGCATCTCTCCAATATGTCCCCTTCTGTCCCCTGACACTGCCTCCATCTCTCAGTTCCAGGTATTCTCTCTGTCTCTCCCCAATGTCAGGAATACTCTATCTCCTCCTTTCTGATTATTGACTCCCTGTATTTCTTTAAGTACAACCTAAAATCTCACCTCCTACAGAAAGCTTTCCTCAACTTCTCTTAAACCTAGTGCCTTCACACTGTTAATTAATTCCTATTCATCCTGTAGATAGCTCGCTTTAAATATAGTTGCTTGCATGTTATTTTCCCCCCATTATATTGGGAGTTCCTTGAGGATGGGGATTTTTTGCCTTTTTTTGTATCCCAAGTGCTTAGCATAGTGCCTGACACATAACAGGTACATAATAAATGTTTATTGAATAACTGGCTCTGCAGTCACAGAAGCTGGGTTCAAATCCCATCTCTGACATTTACTCCATGTGTGACCTCGAGCAAATCATTTCAATGTCTCTGGGCCTCAGTTTCTTCATCTGTAAAATGAAGGTATTGGGCTCTATAATCAGTGTGATCCTATGAGTTTTGCTGCTGATGGGTAGACACAGTAAAGGGCAGAATGTGGGTCAACTAATGGGGAGAGAGGCAGAGGATAACAATTATTTTGCTTTCAAGAACTTTTGTGCAGGAAAAAAAAAGCCTGGATTCAAGGTAGGGAAGGGAAATTAGGAAATAATTTTAGGGAAAACAAAGAGTATTGGCTGAAAATATAGTTTAGAGCAGGTTTTAGATGAATTAATATATGATTAACACATACTGGCTCATTGAGGCAATCTGGGGGTGCTTGGGGACATATTTCTAACCTCTTGAGGTTAATGTCCTGAAGGACAACCATTAAAGTATCACAAACCAACATTTGTTGCTTCTAATCAGAGAGAGACTTCAGAGCTGAAGGAGCCTGACCTTGTGGGGAAATATAGCCATGATTCTGTGACAATTTTTTTGTTTTGGATTCTTAACTGTGTAACAGTGGGCAAGTCCTTTCCCATCTCTAGACCTGTTTCCCCCTGCAAGATGAAGAGAACCTTAGAGGTCTTTAAATGCATGATCCCATGAAATTTGAACTGTAACTGAATAAAAAGTGAATAAATGAGTGCATGTGCATTAGAGAAGAGATAGAGAAAAGAGGAAGGACATGTGTGAAAGATCAGAGGAGAGAAAAAGGAAAGGCAGGAGAAAAGAGAGAAGAGGTGAAACAAAGGTGGAGGAAGGGTTGGGGAAGAAGAAAAGAAGAGAGGAAAGGAGAAAGAAGGAGAGGAGGAGAGAAGAAGGAAGGGGAAAGTGAGAAAGGATGAGAGAGGGGAGTGTAAATAGGGACAGAGGAAAAAAATGATAAGTTGAGGAAGTTAAGATAGATCTTTGAAAATTGGAATTTAATGTCCATTAGTGACTGGTCTGCTTGTTCTAGAAATTAGAGGTTTTCAAAAAAGGAGTGGGATATCTCAGGAGGTAGATAGTGCCCCATCACTGAAGGTCTTCAAGCAGAGACTGGATTGATGGCTAACTCAGCTCTGAGATCCTGTGACTCAGTGCTTTGGGGATTCTCTTCCTTCCTTCCTCTGATCTCACTTTCTATTCTGGCCCTGTTGACTTTTTAGTGTCATTGCCTCTTTGACATTTAATGTTGACATTTAGGTCCTTGGCTCCACCACTCACTCACTGGCTAGCTGTGACCTTGGGCAAGTCATTGCCCTTTCTCCTTTGTAAAATGAGGCTGTCCATTCTTCCCCTGCCTCCCTCAAAGCATTCTTAGAACATTCCATTGAAAGAATGAATGGGAAACCCTTTGAAAAGAAGAAAGTTCTTTGCACAAACAAGGACATCATCTTTTTCTTAAGTAGCATGAAAAAAGCACAGACCTTGAAATCAGCTTTGGGTTTGAATTTCACCTCTTCTACTCAATTTCGCTCAACAAATAATTATGAAATGCTTACTATGTGCCAGTCCCTGAGGATAGAGAGTTGAAAATGGATGAATCCCTGTCCTCAAGGAGTTTCCATTCTTTGAAAGGGATGCACCCAAGTGAGGAAGGACAAAGTATATCCAATGATATTTCCAGTAGTAGAGAGTAGTTAACAACAGGAGGGCCAGGAAAGGCTCTGAGCAGAGCTTTGAAGGAAGCCAGGGTTTCTAAGAGGTAGGTGAGGCATGGAGGGCATAAAGAATGTCTTGTACACACTATCTGGGTGACTTTAGGCAAGTCCCCTAAGCTCTATAAGCCAGAGCTTCCTCGCCTGGAAAATAAAGAGGTTGAACTGTACAGTGGGCTGATCACTAGCTTTGGGGTCAGAGAACCTGGGTTTGAATCCTGCCTCTATCTCTCACTGGCCATATAGCCTTGGTAAGCCATTTAACTACTCTGGGCCTCAGTTTCCCTATTTTTTAGAAGAGGAGGCTGAGCTGGAAGATTTCTAAGGTCCTTTCCACTCTAGGTCTATGATCCCATTCTTTCTATTGTCTAGAGAAAAGTGAAGTGGCTCTTAGGCCTCTCCTCTTTCATGGACCTCTCACCTGGTCAGTGCACCAGTACCAAATGGAAACAAGGTTCATTCCAATGATGATTCCTGGCCATGGCAGTTCACCAGTGATGGGATCCTGGAAGAGGTGGAAGGCATCTGCTTTGGGCATGTAGCATTCTGGGTTCAGGGTTACATTTTGGTCCGTAATGACGGTCGGGATGGCTTTCATGTACTTCTCAGTGAAGGCCTCATACCCTCCCACTTCTGCAAAAGCTAAAAAACATCAGAAAAAAAGTTAACTCTAAGTGTCCAATGAGAGTCAAGAGGCCACATCAGGTGAGCCTGTCCTCAGGCCATGATAATTACGTCCATGTACATCAATGTCATCAGCATCCATAATGTCTCAGACCTATTGTCCTTCCCCCCCCCTCTCCCAAAGGCCTTTTCTGATCCCCTCCCGGTCATCCTCTTTCCCCAAATTATCTTGTATCGTGTTCCCATGAGGATTCATTGTTTTCTTCCAGGAGAATATAAGCTCCTCGAAGGCAGGGATGATTTCCTTTCTGTTTTTGTATCCCTATTGCCTAGTATGGTGCCAAACACGGGATTACAATAGTCCTTCCCCATGATCTTCCCCTAATGTCTTCCTGTCAGGTGGAGGTCACCCCAGACTGTCAAAGAGGATAGTAGCCAAGTGCAAAGTCAGGAAGGTTCTGCTCTGCTGGGAAGTTTGAGTGCCGGCTCGGTGATGGTTGATGCATGTTTGTCACCTGATAAATCAGACTCAATTCAGAGAGGCTCATCTCTAGTTGTTTTGCCAGATGATCCTTTTTGTCTGTTTGGTTGATTTTTTGCTTTTTTGTTTTGTTTTGTTGTTTGCTTTAGCAATCACTATAAATTATCTCCTGAGATATGAAGGAGTTCTGATATATATCAATGTAGGGAGAGGGGGTAAAGTGGACTCCACCAATGAAATTACAGGTCTTTGAAGCACTGGCTACTTCCCAGCATTGAATTCCTGTTTGGTTTTGAGTTAATTATCACCTTTCATTACACTGTCTCAGGAACGGGTGTCAGCACAATGCCCAACACATAGTAGATGCTTAATAAATTATTATTGACTGACTGAGTGACATAGGTACAGGAAGAAAATTTCATCATAAGCCACTGATCTGCTAAGGGGTTGTTAACACAAGACTACTTCCTTAGGGTAGCCCCAACAATACACGGAGCACTATGAAATCCCATGACAGTATCTCCACTCACATAGAGAGCACAGATAATTGGACATGTTTTCCCTAAACTATTTCCTAATTCTCTGACCCTAGGAAGGGCATATATAACTCACAGTTAGACTTTCATGGGGATACTCCCATTACCAATGAAGATAGCAACCACACCACACGGCAATAGAAATCTAATTCCTCAAGGGCTGGTCTGCTTCATTTTTGTCTTTGAATTTCCAGTGCCTAATACAGTGTCAAGCACATAGTAAGGATGCATCTTTTCACAGGGTTCACATATGAAGCTTTTCCAGCTCAATAGCTCTAGACATAGTTTGTGTTTCTCTGGCAGAGCCTTTAGGGACGTAGGGCCGCCTCCATGTAATAATAAACCTGCAGAGGAGAAAACTCACATGCCAGGGAAATAAAAATTGGATTCTCCAGTGCTTCAGAGTCCTATTTCTGCATCACATAGCCAACAAAATGCAGAACTAGATATTTTCTCTGAGTCTCACAAACAACAATAATTCTCAAAAGCAGAAATTACGTGCAAAAGATAAAGTAATTTCATCTGTTTCCACTGTGTAGGACACCAAGAACCCGTACAAAGCAAAACAAATCAATAAACTAACAACGGAGAAGGCTAATATCTATGCCCCTCCTATGCCACCCAGCACTCCTTCCCTCATTACCCAGTGGGCAGTAAGGCTGCACAAGCCCACTCACACACTTGCAACAGAACTCAACTCCATACTCTGCCACCCTCCTCCACGATGCTAAGGAGAGCCAAGCCAAAGAAATTTGATCAGGCTGTGATAGCAGCAAGGCGGATCAGGGCAACATCAAGGAGAGGTGCCACAACAGAGCTTCACCAGAGAGTGGGGCAGGACATGTCTGTGTGTGTATGTGTTTGGGTGTATGGGGATGTGTGGCACTCGACTCAACCTGAGGGAAAGGGCAAAGCATACAACAGGGGCAAAAAATCTGTCTTCCCAGAAGTCCTTTGTGGCAAAGATTAGTGAACTATGAATTAACCAGTTTGGAAAGAAACTGAGACAGCTTTGAGGGCCAGCCCCTAGGGAAACTGCCATCAAAGGGAAGAGAGTCAAAAAGTGATCAATGAGGGGGAAAGAGAGGGATGAAATAACTTAAGATCTCAGGAAGAAGAAAACTCAAGTTTTCAAGACCTTGAGTAGAAGCAGATTGACCAACAAGGAATATTAATAACAAAAAAGGAAATCATCTCCAAATCACTGAAAGAAGTTCAGGCATTTATGAATACATATTATAAGATATGGGAAAATGAATCAACACCTGTTAGTCAGAGGACCCTGTGGATACCAAAGAAAGCATAGAACCATAGCAGGATGTTCCTGAAGGTTTCAAAGAGAAATTGTGAAAGAAGGGATGTCCCAGCTCAGATTTTCATAATCTAGCCAATAGCCTATAGATGCTCAGATTCCTTAAGAGTCTAACTAATATGGCAAATCTTCAATAAACTGTGTTTTTGGCTGAAAGAAGGCTTGGGTCGAATTCTTTTGGGCAGGCCCCACATGTTGTGATTTTGGGGTCCCAGGACTCCTGAACCCTTAAACCACATCATTTTGGTGGCCCATACCGGGAAACTGCCTAATCCCAAGTTCTTCTCCAGTCAAGACTGGAAGGTATGTGAGCCTCCCCCCACCCCTCCTTTCTTGCTCTGCAATTGGGGTCGCTCTCCAAGCACTAAGGCTTGGAGGTGCTTTTCTGGCAGACAGTTACAAGGCTGTCTCACATTAGGCCTGATGCTCTGTGGCTCTCAATCCACTGGGTTGGTTCAAGGCCATGGACCTGAGTACACCTTCAGCAGCATAGAGGACAAGGACAGACACCCTATCCAGAAGTGTATGCTCAATTCCCTTGGCACTATGGAATGGAAAACTGCAGTTGCTTTTTGGGTTCCCTGAGACTTACTTACTCCCTTCCCACTGCACCTCTGAATCCTCCTTCATGGAGGTTACAGGGAAAGTCAGAACAGCTAAAAATATCTTGGCAGATTCTGAAGGTTTTGTGATTGATCATTAAGGAGTTTTGAAACACCTGTACAACCTGGTCACTCCCTTCCCTTGAGTCAAGGGGGTATCTGTTAACCCCTCTCATAGGAGGAGAGGGTTTCACCCTTTACCCCTGACCTTTGATTTTGCCCTGCCCCACCTGGGAAAGGAAGGAGGGTGGAGGGGCAGCAGATACAGTGTGGGACCCCCTGGCAATGGCTTAGGGCCCTAGGGCAACCTTCGCCTGAAAGCATCACCCAGGTTCTGCACATCCTGCTCAAGGTAACGAAGCTAACCTCCAAACTTGGGTAAGCACGCTCTTTTAAATATGTACTTTGGACTGTTAATGATGAGATGTTGCTTCTTTATGTAATGTAATTTGGAAGTGCATTTAACAAAACTGAAGTCACCTGATTGGTAATGGGTTTGTTTCAAGTTTCAAATTGGTGAACTTTCTGTATCAGTTATGCCAAGCAACTTTTCATAATTTGGTTACTGCTAAAATATTTTAGCTATTATTGGTTATTGTTTTAATGTAAAAACTAGCCAAAAAGTTTGTTTGGGTTACATATGGCTTGCTGAGAATTTGGAAGTGTATAGAAATCTCTAATGATTGGCTTTTTGCACCAGGACAAATTTAAGTTTGAGATGTAAATCCTGGAAAAGTTTTTCCTAAGCTGTGATTAGTAAAACTTGCTGTTTGAGGTAAAGGCTCACAGGATTTTATTTTGAGTTGTCTGATGGGTCATAATCCATCGATAATCAATAATCTAAGAGAATGCCACAAGCTACTCTGAGAGGGTGATACTAGTGGGAAGTCAGCATCAGGAAAAGCTGAGAGGACAATTTTAGCCTCAGTCTAAGATGGGATCCTCCTAGATCAGTTTCCCCATTATGTTCCTTTGAAAGGGGATGTTACCCATCTGGATATTCCTGAGTCTGGCTATGAGATGGATTTGATACTGCATGGTTGGAAAACTGAATTATCTGAATCCAAACAGAACTAAGGGTGTTTTATCCTGTCATTTGGGCCCTGCAGTCTTTTTTGTCAGATTTGTGTCTTCCAGACTGCAGGCCATTCACCTACAGTTGGTAGCAAACAGAGGGTACCAGTCAATGTCTATTGTTCCCTGGATGCAGCCTGTGCTCAGTTCCAGTCAACCTCCTCTTTGGGACCCCCTTGAGGCAAGGACAGCTCTATGCCCCTTGCCGGCAGGAAGCAGTTTCAGAAGGTGAGACCTTTGCCCTTTACACCAAAAGAATTTGAGTCCCATTTGTTTGAGGGGGAAATGATGAGGATGGGATCTAGACCCCAAAAAGGAAACCATGGACTTTCAGACACGGCCAAATCTCTGGAATTCTCCTGAGGCCATAATTCCATGCTTCCCTATGGCCCCAGGCCACTTCCCATCCTTAATCCTATCTAGGCTCCATTCTCCTTTGGCCACCCCTGGAGTTCTGCTACTTCATAAACCTACTTGGCCACTCCTAGATCCCTCCCATAGTCTCTATATATAAGGTCCATCTTGTCTCCATTAAGATGATGGGATTCTTATAATCTAGCCAATAGCTTACTAATGTTCAGACTCCTTAAGAGTCTGCCCAATATGATGGATGTTCTAATAAACCTTGTTTTTGGCTGAAAAAAAGAAAGAAAGAAGGGATGTCCCTCAGGTGCTATGGCCTTTCTAAATAGTACTGCAGAAGCAGTCGAGGCTCACTGGTGAAATATATCAGGTAAACTCAGTGAAACAAGGACAGATGGGAATGGATATGGTAACCAGTAATATATAGAACCAATTTGCTGGTTCTTGTATCTAGTCTCTGCCCTGAGATTGATGGGTAGGCATCCCTCCTCTAGGTAGAGCCACTCTGCTTGCTGCCATCAACTCCAGGACACTTATAAGCATCATTTGCCCTGCTCAGGGTGGTTCTGTCTCTGTTTCAGTCAGTTAGTGGTTGCACCTACAAAAGAGAGTGCAATCCTTATTATGGTGTGCAACTGGAATTCTCTCTTTACTAAGGCAGGAAAGTGTGATAAACTGCAGGATGATTTCCTCCACAACGTAAGAAATAAAAATGTTATGGCTGCTGAATGGTGCTGCAGTGCCACATGTTAAAATATGGTGTTCTCAGGGGCAGCTAGGTGGCACAGTGTATAAAACTCCAGCCTTGGAGTCAGGAGGACTTGAGTTCAAATCCGACCTCAGACACATGATACCTACTAGATGTGTGACCTTAGTTAGGCAAGTCACTTAACCCCGATTGCCTCACCAGATAGATAGATAGATAGATAGATAGATAGATAGATAGATAGATAGATAAGTAAAGAAATAAATGGATGAATAAATAAATAAATAAAAATGGTGTTCTCTACTGCCATCTGCAGCCTGAGAAATGAGATCCTCTCTGGAGTGCCTGAGTTGCTCTCTCCTGCTGTCTCTGATTCAAAAGGGGGAAATATAAGCTTTGTGTCTGTTTTGCTGTGAATTGGGCTTTGTCATGAGAAGACTTGGAGCTGCTTGGACAAAGCCAAATTTCCTGCTATTTAAAGTTCTCAAGAGTTTTAAGATCTCAGGTTAAAAGTGGATAACACTCTTTTCTCAGAGCCCTGGTAAGGGTGACTGTGAATGAAAAGAGCTTGTAATTGCTTCATCAGCTTTAAAGCTGAGAAGGAACAGCTTTGCCCAGTAAGAGAGTAGTTAGAATAAGCCAGGGAGGCTAGCAGGGAAGTTGTGGTGTATATTGTTCCTGAAGCAATTGAGGACCTCAAGATCTACTGTCCAGAGTTGTGATTTGTCCCAGGCACATGGCTTTCTCACTCATGGATAGGCTAAGCTTCTCAATATCAATCATGGATGAGCTGAGTTTCTTTAAATGTGTGCCCATTCTTCCACATGGAGACTGGTATGCATTGGTAAAAGAGTATGACTGAGGTTCATGGGTGCATGTTTAGTTATTCATGATTTGCCTTATCTTAACTAAAATTTAGGATTATTTCTTCTTCGCCTTCTATTGAGTAAATGTCATGATTATTGTTGTATTTGCCTCGTTTAGGAACCATTCTATGTTTAAAAATTTAATGGTATCATGGTAAGCAATTTTGTATAAATGGGAAGTTTACCAAATGGTGTTTAGGACCTATGTGGTCATATAAAAGGAGTGTATACATGTACACATGTATGCACACACACAAGCATGCACACACCCGTGTTTTTCTTCAGATGGAGGGGGGTAGAGGAAGAGAGAGAAAAGGAGAGATGGATAAAGAGACCGAAAGAGACTGGTCGCACTTCTAGAGATGCACCTTGACCTACTGAAGTGGATATAGATGGGATAAGCAATCCAGCACAGGAACAAGAGAAAACCTGGGGAGACATGGGAGTGGAAACCACACATGGAGTCCAGCCTAATTATAGATATGGAGCTAAAAGAAACCTCAAAAGTCATCTAGTCCAATCACCCCCCCCATTTTACAGAAAAGGACATTGAAGCAAAGAGAGTGGAAGTGACTTGGCAGAATTAAATAAAGCTGGAATTTGAATCCGGGTCATCTGGAATCTAGGGCCAGTGCACTCTCTACTAGACCACACTGTTCTCCATGATAAGGTGGACTCTTCCTCTCCTCACTACAGTCCATTACTGCTAAAAGCACAGATTTTCAGAGAGCAGGAATCAAAACCCCAGAGGAGAAGGACAGACAGACAGAGCCAGGAACAGGCTCCCTGGCTCCTGGTTCTCATCCAATGCCTCCCACTGCTCCAGGTCCACCCTCCATTCCCCAGTAAACAGTCTCTGGCCTGGCTCGGCTGTACTTACCATAGCCAGTGAGGATGAAAGAGCTGACCAGCATAATGACTGTCTGCAGGGTGTCAGTGTAAATCACAGAGGCCAAGCCACCTGCCAAGGATGCGAAGAGAAATGAAGACATTGGATTCCAGGGGAAGGAAAAACAGAGTGGTAACAATAGAAACCCTTGCTGCTTTAATGTTGTATCTCCCTTCTCTCATTCTCCTCGCACTCCTGGCTTTCTGCTGGGGGTGGGGCTCACCCACCTTGGAGTCCACCTAGTTCTCCTCTGCTGATCTATCCAGGCCCTGACCCAACACTCTGCCATAATGGCCAGGAATCATGTATGATCTGGTACAGCAGATGTAGCAGTAACCATGACGTCTAGAGAGACTTGGGATCACATCCTGCCTTTGGCCTTTACTAGCTTTGTGGCCCAGGAAAGTCACTTAAACTCGCAATTCTCAGTCTCCTCATCTATAAAAATGAAGATAACAATACAAAATAATATAATATATAAAATAATATAAAAATAAAGATAATAATAATAATAATATGCAGTGGACAGAAGGGTGGATTAGGAGTCAGAGGACCTGGGTTCAAATCTGTGCTTTGCCAAATCAATCAAGCAATTCGTTAATAGATATTCATTAAGCTAGGCACTAACCTGTGTGGCGTTGGACAGTACCTTCACTTCTCCAAGCCTCAGTTACTCCCCTGTAAAATGAGGGAGTCGAAACTCAGCACCTTGAGGTCCCTTCTGGCTCCAAATCTATGGTCCCACCTGTAGTGCCTAACTCACCCAGGGTTGCTGTGAAGCTCGGTAAGACAGTGTGAAGCTCTATGCACCTGTCAGTTGTTGATATCCATGAGATTTAGAGCCACAGAGGACCATCTGGTTCAACTTACTTATTTTACAGAGGAAGAAAATGAAATCCAGAAAAGCTCATTGACTCACCTGAAACCACTCAGGTGGAGTAGCTGGCATTTGGAACCAACCCCCCTAAATCTAGCCACGTCTCTTTGTATGATGCTGCATTGCCTGGACTGATTGGGTTGGTGTGACCCATTGGGTTGACCCAGGCATTCAGTGTGTGTGGTGGGTGTGTGTGTGTGTGTGTGTGTGTGTGTGTGTGTGAGAGAGAGAGAGAGAGAGAGAGAGAGAGAGAGAGAGAGAGAGAGAGAGAGAGAGATGCTTCTGGGATCTGTTGAGTGGACATTCAGTTATTGCCTTGGAGTATACACACCTAACTTTCCAGCATTCCTCTAAAGTCTTAACCCCTTCTCTTTGACCCTCCTCTTCAACCCACAGATGCCCAGATCCCAGTAACTAGGTCCTGGGCTGCAGGAAATGAATGGGGGCTGTCTCCTTGCAGCATAGACCCATAGGACTACTACTCGATGATCTCAGAAGTCCCTTCCACCTCAACAACCTTTGTTTTACAGATGAGGAAACTGTGACTTAGAGAAGGATCATGATTTGCCCAACAACTCACAAAAGCAGAACCAACATTTGAACCATTTTGCTACCTTCCTTTATACCACATTTCTTCTTCCTTATCTTAGTAACAGAAAAGCAAAGTCTCAGAGCTGCAATAGTCCTCAGTGGCCATTGAGTCTGGCCCATGCCCCCAAAGAATACCTATGATAATGCCCCTGACAAGCGATTATTCAGTCTCTGCTTGAATGTCTCCAGTGATGGGAAACTCACTACCTCTGGAGGCAGCCTGTCCTAGCTTGGGACAGCTCTCACAGTAACAAAGTTCTCTCATCTATTCAGCCAAAATTTGCCTCTTCACAATGTTCACACATTGCTTTGGGTTCTGCCTTGTGGGTCAAAGCAAAACAAACAGATCTAATCCCTCTTCTCCATGACAATCTTACAAATGCTTGAAGTTAGGGATCATGGACCCCCTAAGTCTTCTCTCCTCCAGTCTAAACATCTCAAGTTTATTCAATCATGCCTCATGTGGTAGGCACTGTCCTGAGAAGCCCAGGGGCCTACAGGGTAGTGAGTCAGATACAGAACACCCATCAGAGGCTGAAGAACTCACCTGCAATAGTGAAGATCCCCGTGATGACCAGTAGGATGAAGATGGCTACGTAAAGATCCAACCCGAGGGCCACGTTGATGAATATGGCTCCCGAGAACATGTCAGCCTGAGGATGAGAGAAGATGTCAGTATCAAAGAGAAGTGAGGCTCAGGGATGCTGAGGGGATAATGATGACTAAAGAAATAAAGTGATCCAGGTTAGAGATCTGGACCCTGAGTCAGAATCTGTGTACCGTCCTGGCTATGTCCCCAGATTTACTGTGTAGCCTTGAGGAAGTCTCCTTCCTTCTCTGGCTCTCATTTAACCTCATCTATAAAAAGATATGGTAGACCAAGATGATGGAGATCCAGTGTGGCATTCTCCTGGAAAATATGTCAGAAGATTTGGAATCAGAAGATTGGACCTTAAACCCTGGCTCTCTGCCTTACTGCCTGGGTGGTCTTGGCCATTGGCTTCTCTTCTCTGGGTCTCAGTTTTCTTCTCCATGAAATGGGGAGGTCCTAATAAGATGGCTAGAAAGTTGTGGAGTCCAGAGAACTACACTGAATGAGGAATCCGAAGCCTTGATTTTGAATCCTGTCTCTGGGACTTACTGCTTCTGGGATCTTCCTGTCACTGGGCTTTAGCTTTCTCATGTGCAACTTAAGAAACTCAGACTAAGATGATGGGGAAGTTGTGGGAAAAGTCCTGAATTTGGAGGAGGAAAGCCTCAGTTTGAATCTGAGCTCTGTCTGTTATTACCTATATGACCCTGGACAAGTCTCTTCCCCCCTAGAAGCCTCAGGTAATATATTCATTTGTGAAATGAAGGAGCTGGATGTGATAACACCAGCTCTCATTTTCTATGAATGCTTTAACACTTCCAGAATGTATGATTTTGTCTGTGGGTGGTCTCTCTACCATTCCAGAAAGCAGCGCATCTGTGCCTCAGTAGACAATACTTTACAGATTGCTTTGCCAAAAAATAATAATAATAATAATAAATTTAAATTCTTTTGCAGTATACTTGGACTCATAGGTCCTGATGTGATGGGGTTTAAGCAGGAGGATTGACAGAGTCCTTGAATGGACTGGAGAAGACTCGAGGAGGTCTCCTAGTCCAAAGCCCTTATTTCCTAGAGGAGGAAAGGGAATCCCTGAGAAGTTGAGTAATTTTTTTTCAAAGTCATACAGCTAAGAAAGCTCAAAGACTCTAAGTCCAGCATTCCTTGCCTGACGCTTAGTGGTCATGAGACCTACGCATTTTTGTTGTTCAGTCTTTTTTCAATCATGTACCACTCTTCATGACCCCATTTGGGGTTTTCTTTGTGAAGATATTGGAGCAATTTTCTATTTCCTTCTCTATCTCATTTTACACATGAGGAAACTGAAGCAAACAGGATAAGTGACTTGCCCAGGGTCACACAGCTAATAAGTGTCTGAGGCCAAATTTGAACTCAAGAAGACGAGTCTTCCTGAGTCCGGGGCCTTGCTCTGTGCACCATGGCACCATCTGACAGCCCCAGACCTATGAATGCTCTGTTCTAAAGCACCTTTGGCTGCCTTCCTCCTGGCCTCCCTACACGAGAGAGAAATGTACAGAGAATTAGAGGCTTCAGTCTTTCCCTAGAGACTCTTCATGTGGAATTCTGAGATGCTAAGAGGCAGGGTAGCATGGTGGTAAGAACCAAGAAGCCCTGGGTTCCAGTCCTGTCCCTGTCCCACATGGGCTCTGTATGCCAAACCACTTTGCCTCTTAATGATTTCAGGGAACTCTTAAAGACTCTTAAGTAACAGATGAGCTGTATTGATGGAAGGTGTTTCCACACTGGAAACTACACATTTATAGACCTCCTGCTCCCCTCTCCCCACCAAGAAAAGGAAGTGATATCAAAGTATGAGTCGACATTATTTGAAGACAGTGTGAAGGTCGTATCATTTAGTGAAAAACAACACGTGTCATGAGGAAAGTGCGAGCTGTCAGGGTGGCCTGACCTTTTGACACACCCTGCTATTCCCTGGGTTCTGGCCAAGTCCTGATCCAGCTCAGAAAACTAAGACATTGTGATTAGAAGCTCATTACTGGTCCTTCCCCCTACTTCCCCCCACTTATCACTGGCCTTTGAAATGTACATTAGCAGCTAAAGTATTTGTAAGAGTTCTCTCTGTCCTGGGAAATAACACTCTTACTTTTGTTTCCCAACTGTGCATGTCTGAACAGAAAGAGAAACAAAGATCAGAGATCATCAGGTGCCAGCTCCATATTTTACAGAAAAGGAAACTGAGTCTGAGAGAGATGCTATGACAAGTGCCAAGGTCACACAGCCAGTGAATGACAGGGTCAGGAATTCAGGATTTAAGTCTTTGGGCCCCAAGCTCAAGGGTTCTGGTACAGTGTCTTCACCACTCAATGTGGACTCCCAAATAATACCTCTTTTTTATTCTGCTTACTCTGTGTGACCTTGGATAAGTAACTTTCCCACTCTGGACCTTTTTCCTCATCTGTAAAAGGACAGGACCCAGTGAACTCTTAGGTCCTTGTCAGCTCTAGGATGATGCTGTGAAAAGGTTAGAGTCACACTGGAATTTGTAGCTTAATTAGTAAACCTGAGAAGAATCTCTCATCACCCAGAACAGAAAAAAATGAACAAAAGGTCGGGTCTTTGAGACTAATAGCTATTAAAACCTCTCACCAAAAGCTGAGGCAATAGTGAACTTCCAAATGGCTGCCACTCCAACATTATCAGTGGGGAGCTGCCATTCAAGGCCTCCCATAATCTGGCCTCACCTGCCCATCCACTGATATCACTCCTTCCTCTACTCTATGAACCCTCATCCCCAGGAAGACAAAGCACCTACTCACCCCCAGCTCACTCTCATCTCCACACCTTTGCTCATACTGTTTAGCCCTAAACTGGAAGGGGCTTCAGAGAACCATCTTGTCCTTTGTGCCAACAGGCACAAAATTAGGGGAAGGAGATGCACACACATCAACTTTGCTCAAAATGTCCTTCTTTGCTCTTCCCTCTCTCCCTATTCAAATTCTACCACCCATGCTGGAGAACTTGTTCCAAGTCTCACCTTTGCCCAGAATTCCAGAGAGCAAGAATTCATGGGACCTTAGCAGCCACCGAGTTCAACCCATAAACCAGGTATTCTTAACCTGGGGTCCATGAATGATAGATAGATACATACATAGATACATAGATGGAAGAATGGATGGATAGATAGATAGGTAGATGGATGGATGGAAAGATATAGATGGATAGATGATAGAGATAGACATAGATAAATAAGTAGATAGATAGACATAGATGGATAGATGGTAGAGATAAAGACAGACAGACAGATAGATAGATAGATAGATAGATAGATAGATAGATAGATAGATAGATAGATAAACAGATGATAGATAGCTGTGGTGAGATACAGAAACAGACACAAACGTAGAAAGAAAGATAGTAGAGGTGGAAAAATAGATAATAGAGATAGATAGATAGATGGATGGATGGATACCGAAATTGAGAGATAGAAGAGAGATAACTCAATTTCAGTGCAATCAATTTACTTTTTAACCGTATGCATCTTGCGTTATAGATTGCACAAGCTGAGTCTGAGAAGGGCTCCCAGACTTCACCAAACTGACCACCCAAGGGGGCCACTACACCAAGAAGGTTGAAAGCCCCTGCCATACCTGAATACGAACTCCCATTTTAATGGACCTTCCAAGTGCTATTTCATTTTTGTATCTGTGTCCCTAGTGCCCAGCACATACCCTAAATACAGCTAACTGTGGCAGAAGTGAGAGATACTATCATTTCCCTAGTGTGTCCTGACTCTGGCCCTTGCTGCCATCTCTTTTTTAAGTTTTTTTTTAATTTTTTTAAAATTTTTATTAGTTTTGAATGTAAATACAAAAAGTAAAAAGGAAAAAGGAAAAAAGACCATTTCTATGTATAAAACACAATGTACAGGATTCAATATAAAAGTATGAGTTTCCATTTCAGACTGTTTACTTTTAAAAAGAAAAACCATATAATAAATACTACACATTTTCAAAGCTACCCTGATTTCTATGCTCCCCTCTAAATTTTCTTTTGTTCTTTGCTGTGCACTTCTTATTTTTTTCTTCCTTCCTCCCCACCATATGCTAGAGAAAGGTACAATTAAACACAAATATGTGTGTGTACACATATATATGTAAAGTTATACTAAATATCCTTCTATTAATCAGTTGATGGATAGCATCTTCCTTCATAGGTCCTTTGTTTTGGGTTTGAGAATTTATAATACTCAAGACGAATTAGTCATTCAAAGTTGTTCTTTGAACAATATTACTGTTACTGTTTGCAATGTTTTCTTGGTTTTATTTCACTCTTCATTACTTTATGCAAATCTTTCAATGTTTTCCTAAAATCGAGCACCTTAGTATAGCACAGCAGTGTTCCATCACATTCATACACCACAACCTGCTCAGCCTCTTCCCAATAAGACCTTGCTGCTTCTTACCCTGTGATGTTTCATTGCTCTTTCGTAAAGCTAGAAGATTGAATTAGACAATCCTTAAGCTCTGACTAGCTGTGTGACATGGAGGATTTCATTTGACCTCTCTAGATCTCAGTTTCCCCATCTGTAAAATGAGGGGATTGTGCCAGATGGCCTTTCAGCTCTGACATTCTATGAGTCCAGAAATGCCCAGACACATGGTCTACGTAGTTGTCTGGTCAGTCAAGAAGAGCATACCCCAGTGCCAACTGAAATTATTCAAGAGGAGGGATATGATTTCTTCCACTTGGCTGGAAGGAAATGCTAGAGGTTGTAAAGAAGGACAAATTTTGTCTCAAAGTAAGGAAAAGCTTCCTAATACCAAAGGCATCCAAAAGTGGAATGGGTTGCCTTGACTCTCATATTCTCCATCAACATTTAGCTTGGATGCCACCTCTCCCATAAAGCTCTCTTTGATTTTCCCCTCAGAGGTATTCCCAGCCCTATGATCCTCTGACAATCCTCATGCTGCTTATCCTCCTCTGGACAATCTCAAGCTTATTGAAGTCTTTCATAAATTATGGTGCCCAGAACTGAACACAGTACCCCAGTCTAACCAAGGGAAAGAACAGAGAGCCTGCTTCCTCCCTAGCCATAGAAACACAGGCTCCTGCAGTTGTAAGGGACCTCAGAGGCTGTCTACTCCAACTTGCACTTATCACAATAGTAGGCACTTAATAAATGCATGTTGACTGACTGACTTGTACTGAGCAGGGATCCTCACTATGACAGCTCCAGCAAGTAGTTACCCAGGCTCTGTTCCAAGACCTCCAGGGACAGGGAGCCCATTTTTCTATTTAATCCAATGAACATTTATTAAGCACCTACTCTGTGTTCAACTCCTGGCATCCAAAGACTAAAATGAAAGAGTTCCCATCTTCAGTCTAGTTGGGGAGGCAGGCCGTAAATGCAAGCATAATTTGAGGTGGAGGCAAACAAGAGATCCAGGCAAGGTATTCTGGGAATATTTGAGGGAGAAATCAAGGAAAACTTTGTGGAGGAGGAGACAACTGAGCTAAGCCTTGATAGGGAATCTGAGGGGCAAGCATATCCATTCCGCTTTTGAACAGCTCTATCAGGAAGTTTTTCTTGACATAGCCAAAATCTATCTCTCTTTACAACTTCCGACACTTATTTCCAGTCCAGGAGAGAAAATCAAAACTCTCCTGCTGGACAGTTCATCCTCCAAGAAGCCTTCAGTTATTATTTGGGTCTTCCCTTACTGTCTAGACCACGTGCTTAGACATTTACACACTCAGAGATTGTCAGAGCTGAAAGAGACCTTAGTCCCATCTTCTTCACTAAACTGAAAGCTACCTGAGGGTAAAAGCTGTGCTTTATTCTTGGAAACTCCTAATACCCATAACTTTGCTCCCAGTTGTGTCGGTCCAGTATACTTTACCTAGATCTCTTATTTGCCTCCACCTCAAATTATGCTTGTGTTCATGGCCTACCTCTCCAACTAGACTGAAGATGGGAACTCTTTCATTTTAGTCTTTGAATGCCAGGAGCCAAACACACAGTAGGTGCTTAATAAATGTTCATTGCTTTGAATAGAAAAATGGGCTCCCTGTCCCTGGAGGTCTTGGAGTAGAGCCTGGGTAACTACTCACTGGAGTTGTCATAATGGGGATCCTTGGTCAGTATAGGTCAGTCGATCAATGTACATTTATTTACAAACACAGGATAGGATATTTGAACTGAAAGGGACATTGTATATAATCTAGAGTCCCATAGCTAGTAAGCATCTGAAGCTGGATTTGAACTCAGTTCTTTGAGACAAGGGCAGCTAGTTGGTACAGTGGTTAGAGTGCTGGAGTCTTCCTGGGTTCAGACACTTGCTAACTGTGTGACCCTAAGAAAGTCACTTAACCCTGTTTGACTCAGTTTCCTCATCTGTAAAATAAGCTAGAGAAGGAAATAGAAAACTATTCCAACATCTTTGCCAAGAAAACCTCAAATGCGATTGCCAAGAATTGGACACAATTCAACAACAACTTCCAGACTCAACCCCCAGTGCTCTATTTACTATGCCATCTAGCTGCTACTATGAAAATAATTGTGACCTCATGGACTCCCTGAAAGGATCTCGGGGACCTCCAGGGTTCCCAGGCTACACTTTGAGAATTACTAATCCATTCCATCCACCTCATTTAATAGGGAGAAACTGAGGCACAGGAAGAAGAAAGGACTGGTCCAAGCTCATACAGTTTGCTTATGGTAGTTAGGGCTCCTTAAATGCTAGTCATAAAAGGTTTGGGAAGCATCACACCTTCAGGCTATGGCTGGCTCATGGGCAGCCTGACATAACTAGAAAGCAAATGACTGGACCAGTCATTTTTCTTGTGAAGAGTGAAACATGTACATGGCCTGGGAACTTGATGTTAGACAGAGACAGATAAAGAAGGTAATTCTCCAAGAGTCATAACATTTTAGACCTGGAAAGGCACCTGAGAGACCATTCTGGGAAACCCACATAACGGGTTCAATAAATCCAACAAAGTTCTCCTGGAACCCTCAGAGGGCAGTATAGAGTAGTGGGAAGAGCCCAAGAATTGGCGTCAGGGGAACATAAATTCAAATTCTAACTCTGCTACTTGCTGTTTGTACGACCTTGGGCAAACCTCTTAACTTCTCTAGGACTCAGTTTCTCCATCTGTAAAATGAGTAGATTGAGCTAGATCATCTCTAAGATATATTTCCAATTCTATGATCCCATGATTCTTCCTCCCAAGCCAATGGAATTCTCTGAAAGATACCAAAGGTAGTCCAGCCTATTAATCCACCAGCAGTAATCAGCAGCTTTTCCTCCTTAAAAAAGCCAGTTTTGAGGATTGCTGCTTTATAATACAATTTAACATCTGGAATGGCCAGGCCACATTCCCCTGCATTTCTTTTCAGTAGTTCCCTTGATATTCTGGACCTTTTGTTCTTCCAAATGAATCTTGTTATTATTTTTTCTAACTCTATAAAATAAATCTTTGGTAGTTTGATTGGTATGGCACTTAATAAGTAAATTAGCTTAGGTAGAATTGTCATTTTTATTATATTAGCTCAGCCTACCCATGAGCAACTGATGTTTTTCCAATTATTTAGATCTGACTTTATTTGTGTGAAAAATGTTTTGTAATTGTGTGCATAGAGTTTCTGGGTTTTGTTTTGGGAGGTAGACTCCTAAATATTTTATAACATCTACAGTAAATTTAAGTGGAATTTCTTTTTCTATCTCTTGTTATTGGGCTTTGCTGGTAATATACAGAAATGCTGATGATTTATGTGGGTTTATTGTATAGCCTGCAACTTTGCTGCAGTTGTTTATTTTTTCAAGTAGCTTTTTTACTTGATTCTCTAGGACTCTCTAAGCAGCAATCAGCAAAACTGCTTGTTACTGGCTAAGAAATGCAGTGGTGGATCAGTGGAATAGGTTAAATATGCAAGACACAGTAGTCAATGACTATAGTAATCTATTATTTGATAAATCCAAAGACCCCAGCTTCTGGGATAAGAACCCACTCTTTGAAAACAAAAACTGCCAAGAAAACTGGAAAAGAGTATGGCAGAAACTAGGCATTGATCAAAATCTCACACCATATACTTAAATAAAGTCCAAATGGGTTCATGATTTACATATAAAAGCTGATACTATAAGCAAACTGAGAGAGCAAGCAATGCTTTACCTGTCAGATCTATGGAGAATAGAAGAATTCATGACTAAACAGGAGATAAAGAACATTACAAAAAGCAAAACGGGTAACTTTGATTACATTAAATTGAAAAGTTTTTGCATAAACAAAGCCAATGCAACTAGGATTAGAAAGAAGGTAGAAAATTGGGAAAGAATTTTTACAACTACTGTCTCTGATAAAGGCCTCGTTTCTAAAATATGTAGAGAATTGAGTCAAATTTATAAGAATACAAGTAATTCCCCAATTGATAAATGGTCAAAGGATATGAACAGGCAGTTCTCAAATGAAGAATTTAAAGCCATCTATAGTCACATGAAAAAAATGCTCTAAATCACTATTGATTAGAGAAATGCCAATCAAAACAATTCTGAGGTACCATATCACACCTATCAGATTGGCCAAGATGACCAAGACAAGAAAATAATAAATGTTGGAAAAGATGTGGGAAAATTGGAACACTAATGCATTGTTGGTGGAATTGTGAAATGATCCAACCATTTTGGAAAACAATTTGGAACTATGCCCAAAGGGGCTATAAAAATGTGCATACCCTTTGACCCAGCAATAGCACTTATAGGGCTATATCTCAAAGAGATCATACAAATGGGAAAAGGACCCACATGTACAAAAATATTCATAGCAGCTCTTTTTCTGGTGGCAAAGAATTGGAAATTGAGAGGATGCCCATCAATTGGGGAATGGCTGAGCAAGTTGTGGTATATGAATGTAATGGAATACTATTGTGCTATAAGAAATGATGAACAGGCTGACTTCAGAAAAACCTGGAAAGACTTGTATGGTCTGATGCTGAGTGAAGTGAGCAGAAGCAAGAGAACATTGTACACAATAACAGCCACATTGTACGATGACTAATATTGATAGACTTAACCCTTCTCAGCAATACGAGGATCTAAGACATCCCCAGAGGCCTCAGGGTGGAAGATGCTATCCAAATCCAAAGAAAGAACTATAGAATTTGAATGCAGATCAAAGCATACTGTTTGCTATTTTTTTTCTCTTCTGTTGAGTTTTGTTTCCTCTTCCTGGTGGTTCCTCCTATTGGTTCTAATTCTTACTTACAACATCACTAATGTGAAAATATGTTTAATAAGAATGTATGTGTATAGCTTATATCAGATTGTGCTCTGTCTTGGGGAGGGTGGTGGGGAAGAAGGGGGGGAAATTTTTAAACTCAAAAGCATATGGAAGTGATTGTTGATAAATCAAAATAAATTAATTAAAAAAAATAAAAAGCCAGTTTCAACCCTGCAAGCTCCCAAAGGGGTCCACATGCAGTTCACCAGCAGCCAGTTCCATTGCCTTCCCTAGATGTGGTGCTAAAAGAATGCTACCTTGAGGTTGCCCACATCATGAGAGAGATCACAGAGTCAACCAAGAAGCTTTGGAGAGGTATTTTCCAGAACAGGATCAATTAACTGTCCATCAACAAGCCAGTCAGTTCTACAACCAGAGATAGCTCTACCTTCCTTATATAAGCATTCTTCTTTCTATTAAGCTCACATGGCCAGATCACCAACATTTTAAAGACATCCAATGATAGCTTCCAACTCTCTCACACCAGGCTTTCTACACTTGGTAACAGCCCTCAAATTCCATTCAACAAACATTTAACAAGCACATACTGTGTGCCAGGAGATGTGCTAGGCAATGGAGAGAGAGAGAGACTGAAAGGAGCCAGCACCTGTCCTCAAGGAGCTTACATCCTACCAAAATGCAGAGTTAAGATGAACTCACCGAGATTCTCATGGCCACAGATGAGAACAGGGAAAGGACAGAGAAGTAGATCTGAATCCTTTTCCCTCCAAACCTCTTCATCAGGTATTCAGGCATGGTCACCACCTGCACAGGTAGAAAGAAGCAAGAATCACACTGTACCACAAAGCATCATGGGAACCTTGGACGCCAGAATTGGGGGAACAGGGACCTCTGTGAAGCATTGTGCGAGTAATCCAACTAATACCACTCCCCTCATGCTAGAGTGGAAAGGCATCATCCTAACATGGGAGCCAGGAACCATAGCTCAAGTCCTGCCCTTTATGTGACCTTGGGTAAGTAATTTGGCCTCTCTCAGCCTCAGTTTCCTCATTTATGAAACTAAGAAGATAAAATAAAATCTCACATACAATGCACCTTCCAGAGTTGTTATAGCTAAAGGGATTTGGACAACTTGAAGCACTGTATAAAGATGAGCAAATAGTCTTACAAGTGTATGGTATGAATAATTGATGATGCAGGGCTCCGGAGAAGAAAGTGCCCCTGCCTTTGGGTACTTACCCCAGCCTTAATGTAAATGGGGACAAAGAGCCAACCTAGGATCAGCAGCGATGGCAAACTCTGCCAAAAAAAGAGAGAGAGAGAGAGAGAGAGGAGAGAGAGAGAGAGAGAGAGAGATCATACAGAAATTAGGCTTGTCTTCTCACTGGTCTTGCCCAACCAATGCTTGATTCCCCAAAATCCTAGGTTTCTCCCCTCTCTTCATCTGGTGCCTACATGCTATGATTTAAAGGGACATTGGGAAATATGGCTGCTGAGAAAGAACTCTCTTCCAGCTTTAATCAATGGACCCACGATGGGCCGCACCATGACAGTCATTCCTTTGAGTGTGACATTTTTAGTCTTTAATAGGGAGTTTTTGAGATTCATCTTTTAAAATGCAAGCAGCCTCTGGATGGAGGAATACATTAGATCTTGGTCTAGTCCCTTACTTTCTCTGGGTCTCAATTTCCTCTTCTGTAAAAGGAGAGGATTGGAGTAGAAGATCTCTAAAGTCCCTTCCAGGTTGAATAACTTACAATACAACTTTATATCATAGACAGAACTCTGGATGTAAAATCAGGAGACCTGGGTTCATGTCCTGACTGACACTTAGTGGCTAGGTGACCCTAGGTGAGTCACTTCCCCTCTCTCTGCCTTGGGTTCCTTGTCTCTACTGCCATACTGGTCGACTTGCTGCACCCCATGCACACATTCCATATTCCATCTCTGTCTTTGCACAAGTCATTCCAGGGAATGCTCTTCCTCCTCATCTCTGCCTCTAAAGAATGATTCCCAGCATCCTTCATAACTCAGGTCAATTCTACCTCCTTCCTGGTGTTATGCCCCCTAAAATTACTTTGTATTTTCTTGTATCTGACGGTGCTGTTTCCCCAGAATGTTCCCTCTCTAAAAGCAGGAGATGTTTTCATCCTGTTTTTACATGTACAACACCTAGCAGAATGCCTGGCACACAGTAGGCACTCAGTTTTTAAAATGCCATTTGAATAAATAAGATGATTAGAAACTGGTGCCACCTAGCTAGAGCAGTCTAAAAGTGATCAAATGTTAGCCCTTTTGCATGATTTAGTTTATCAGATCATTTCAATAGGGGCAGTTCCTGAGATCAGGGTCCAGAGGGAGGTTTATGGGAGGACCAGAGGACACATGAGTTTGAAGGGGTGGGTACATAGATGACTCAACATGCTTGGGTGTCAAGTATGACAGAGACCTCAGAGGTCTCTGGCCTACCCAGACCTGACCAAGAATCCCTGCTCTAACACTCCTAGCAAATGGCCCTTTCAGCCCTTACTTGGAGACTTCCCATGGGGGGCAGGGAGCTCACTACCTCCCAAGGCAGACTGTCCCACTTCTGGACAATTCTCATTGTTAGGAAGTTTTTCCTTACACCAAGACCAATTCTGACTCTGCAAAGTTGGAAAGGTCCCTTGAGGCCATAGAGTCAAAGCCTCTCATTTTACATTTGAGGAAACCAAGGCACAGAATTAAAAAAGGAGCTTCCCACAATTGTACTTGTTGGCTCATAGGATCATGGATCTGAAGTTGGAAGGGATTTCTGAGGACATCTAGTCCTATCACTTCATTTTAAAGATGAAGAAAATGGAATTTTTTTTCGGGGGGGGCAGAGCCAAGATGGTGGAGTGAAAGCAGTGACTTGCTTGAGCTCTCCCCCAAACCCCTCCAAATACTCATAAAAAATGGCTCTAAACAAATTCTGAAGCAGCAGAACCCACAAAAAGACAGAGTGAAACAAATTTCCAGCCCAAGACAACCTGGAAGATTGATCAGAAAGGTGTATCATGCTGGGCTGGGAGCACAGCATGGGCACGCAGGCCACAGCAAACCTGGAGTAGGCCTCGGAGGACTGAATCACAAGCAGCTGTGGAGATTTCCAGACTCCTCAATCCACAAATGCCAAAGACAACTTAGAAGGTCAGTGGGAAAAGTCTGTTTCTGTCGGTGCTCAGAGAGGAAGGCGGGGTTTCAGCTCCATTCCCCAAGAGTGTGGCCCTGGGGGGGCAGCTGCTTCCCGAGCTTCCAGCCCACAGACTGAGGGGGAATCCAGTGGCTGATCAGAGAGGGATTGCAGGGATCTCTTTGCCAGTGCTGAGGCAGGAATCTCTTGCTTTGCCCGTGTGTGGATCTGGGTCACAGTTCTGGGCGGTGGTGCTGGGGTGAGGAGGAGCGCTGGCGTGGTGGAGCTTGTAGTGGCTATGGAGAGGAACCCCTCCTCACAGTTACGGGACAGAAAGGAATACTTGTGGTCACAGGCCAGGAAAGGAGTAAACACCTCGCCCCTTATCATACCACCTTGGAAGAACTGAAAATTTACAGGTCCCTACAAGTATCTCTGAAAACAGCTATACAAACCCCTGAAGCTTGGGACAGTACACTCTCCACATTGGAAGCAGACTCTTACCTTAACAAAGAGTTTAAAACTCAAGTAATTGGCTGGGATCATGAGCAAGCAGTGCAAAAAGAGTCAGACTATATTATCTTACTTTGGTGAAAAAGAAGATCAAAATATACAACCAGAAGAAGACAACAAAGTCAAAGCTCCTACATCCAAAGCCTCCAAGAAAAATATGAATCAGTCCCAGGCCCTGGAAGAGCTCAAAAGGGATTTTGAGAGAAGCAAGTAAAGAAGTAGAGGAAAAACTGGGAAGAGAAATGAGAGTGATGCAAGAAAATCATGAAAAACAAGTCAACAGCTTGCTCAAAGGAGACCCAAAAAATACTGAAAAAATAACACCTTAAAAAATAGCCTAACCCAAATGGCAAAAGAGGTCCAAAAAGCCAATGAGGAGAAAAATGCCCTAAAAAGAAAAATTGGCCAAATGGAAAAGGAAGTCCAAAAGATTACTGAAGAAAATACTTCCTTAAAAATTAGAATAGAGCAATTGGAAGCTAGTGACTTTATGAGAAATCAAGACACTGTAAAACAAATCCAAAAGAATGAAAAATTAAAAACAATGTGAAATATCTCATTGGAAAAACAACTGACCTGGAAAATAGATCCAGGAGAGAGAATTTAAAAATTATTGGACTATCTGAAAGCCATGATCAAAAAAAGAGCCTAGACATCATCTTTCAAGAAATTATCAAGGAAAACTGCCCTGATATATTAGAACCAGAGGGCAAAATAGAAATTGAAAGAATCCACAGATCTCCTCCTGAAAGAGATCCCCAAAGGAAAACTCCTAGGAATATTGTAGCCAAATTCCAGAGTTCCCAGGTCAAGGAGAAAATATTACAAGCTGCCAGAAGGAAACAATTCAAGTACTGTGGAAACACAATCAGGATAACACAAGATTTAGCAGCTTCTACATTAAAGGACCACAGGGCATGGAATATAATATTCCAGAGGGCAAAGGAGATAGGATTACAACCAAGAATCACCTACCCAGCAAAACTGAGTATAATCCTTCAGGGGAAAAAATGGTCATTCAGTGAAATAGAGGACTTTCAAGCATTCCTGATGAAAAGACCAGAGCTGAATAGAAAATTTGACTTTCAAATACAGGACTCAAGTGGAACATGAAGAGGTAAACAGGAAAGAGAAATCATAAGAGACTTATTAAGATTGAACTGTTTACATTCCTGCATGGAAAGATGATATTTGTAACTCATGAGAACTTTGTCAGTATTAGGGTAGTTGAAGGAAAAAAATTATATGTATGTATATAGATAGATAGATAGAGGGCACAGGGTGAGTTGAAGATTAAGGGGTCATATCTGGAGAATAAAATTAAGGGATGAGAGAGGATGATACTCAGAGAAGAAAGGGAGAGGTAGAATGGGGTAAATTATCTCACAAAAAAAAAAACAGAAAAGAAAAGTCTCTCACAGTGGAGGGGAAACAGGGGAAGGTGAGAGGGAATGAGGAATCTTATTCTCATAGGATTTGGCTTAAGGAGGAATAACATACACATTCAATTGGGTATGGAAATCTGTCTTACCCTACAGGAAAATAGGGGGAGAAGGGACAAGAGAGCAGGGGATGATAGAGAGGAGGGCAGATTGGGAAAGAGGGCAATCAGAAGCAAATACTTCTGAGGAGGAACAGGGTTAAAAGAAAGAATAGAATAAATGGGAGGGCAGGATAGGATTAAGGGAAATAGAGTTAGTTTTTCACAACATGTCTACTATGGAAGTGTTTTGCATAACTGCACATGTACAACCTATATTGAGTTGCTTGCCTTTTCAATGAGGGTGGGTGGGGAGGGAGGAAGGGATAAAATTTGGAACTCAAAGTTTTAAAAACACATGTTTAAAAAAAGGTTTTCACGTGCAATTGGGAAAAAAGAATACAGGAAATGGGGTACAGAAGTCTATCCTGCTCTACAGGAAAATAGAAGGGGAAGGGGATAAGAGAAGGAGGGGGAGAGATAGAAGAGAAGGCAGACTAGGGGAAGGGTATTCAGAATGCATGCCATCTTGGGGTGGGGGAGGGGTGAGCAATTTGGAACTCAAAAACTTGGGGAAGTGAATGTTGAAAACTAAAAATAAATACATTTATATTTTAAAAAAATAAAATAAAAAAATAAAGGTGAAGAAAATGAGGCCCAGGAGGATTAAGCCCAAGGTCACTCAGGTAGTATTAGAGACAGAAGTGAAACCCAAGTCTTCTAACAACAGGGACAGTGCTCTAGCCACTGAACCACACTGTCTCCTTTCTACAATCTGATGTTGAGATAGGCATAGAGTCTCTAGAGAGAGAGACCTTAGGCTGCCACTGGTATGAGCAAGGAACTTTGAGGTTCTTCACAGGGCTAAGGAGGTCAGAGGCCTCAGAGATGGGAAGGGAGAAAGACTGGAGAGAAAAATCACATCTGGCCACACACACACACACACTCCAAGGGTCCCTCCTGCCAACATCCATCTACTTCTTCAACAGACAAGCAGACTCCCTCTAGAGCAGGGAGCAGGTGTGCCTATCCTTTGATCTCCACAGATCTCCATAGGCTGAGCTCTCACAAGGTCTTGAGGTGTCCTCTCTGCCCTGCCCTTAACCACTCAGAATTCCCCACAGCCTCATCTGACTCGTGTCAAGCTCATGCCAGGCCATAGGGCACCTCTATCTGTGGCCTAAAGGCTGAGTCAGGGTATTCAGTGCCTACAGGGTATATTACTGCAGTTAACCACAGTTTTATTTCCTCCTCCTAGGCATAAGCTGCATAAGGGGAGGAATGGCATTTTGTTTAAGCTTTTTTTCTCCCTTCATCCCCAGCACAGAACTCTACCTCAGTAGACACCCAAAAATGTTGACTGAATAAATGAATAAATAAATGAATCCTTCTCCCAGTTTAGGATAAGGCAATGATGCAGTGGTCCTCAGGAAATGTGTCAGAGCCCAGCATGGACAGACGTCTTGAAGGATCAAATGGGAATTAGAATGTGGCTGAGGCTACAAGAATCTTGTTGGGGATTTCCCTGTTTGGCATCTCTAATTATTTCCAACATATTGGGTGTTGGCACCTGACCACCAGTTGGTATGTCTGATTCTCTTTGGGAATTTGGCATCCTCAATGGTCTAGCCCAAGAACAGGCATGGATCCTGGACTCCGATTCACTTCATCCACCTCTGTATCTGGCAACCTGCTCCCTGGAAGCTTCCTCAGCTGAAAGGATAAAGCCCTTCAGACTGAAGCAGCTCTAAGGGGGTGAAGAGAAAGCTGGATTTGAAGCCTGAAGACCATAGAACCATAGAAAGAACAAAAAAAATCCCAACTTAATGTGGAGATATGGTCCCCCAAAAGAAACAGGTGAATGCACCTTTCTCCCTTCTGTTTGCAGAGGTGGGGAACTATGGGTGAGGAGCACTGCATACACTGTGAGACTGGCTGATAAGTTACTTGGCTTTGCTGAGCATTTTCTCCTCTTTCATTCTTCATTATGGAGGTGAGGGAGAATGGCTAGTTCAGGAAGGGGGAAGGAAGTGAGATAGACTGGAAAATGAAGATGCTGTGAGAAAAAGGATATACTTTTTTTTTAAAGAAGGCAATTACTTAGAGCTGGTAGGGACTTTCAAGGTCATTTGGTCCCCCTCCCTTATTTTAAATGGAAGAAATCAGTCCAGTGTCACAGAAGACACTCCCCTACCCCAGCTCCAAGCATTTTCACTGACTTGTCCCCCATGCCAGAAATGCTCTCCTTTTTCATCCCCAACTCTGAGCTTCCATGACTTCCTCCAAGTAGTTCAAGTCTCACCTTCTACAAGAGGCTTTTCTTGGGCCTTCTCATTCCTAGGTTTCCAGCACACCCACTAGAGCCATCCTCTCTGCAAATGCCTTCCATCAACTCCTTATATATTTTAGATGGATCTAGTCAGCTATCTGTTGTCTCCCCATAATAAAATGAGTTCCTTTGTAACCTCACTGGTCAGCACAGTGCCTGGAACACAGTAAATGCTTAATAAATGTTTGTTGATTGACTGGATGAATGGATTCCCTTAGGTTAAGAAGGAGCTCTCTTTGCATATGTGGCGGTAGGCTTAAGAGAAAAACACCAAGGAAGAATTACCTACATTTGTCTCAAGCACGGTAGCAGCAATTCCTGAGGCTGCACCAGTCCCAGCCAGGCCCACGAAACTGACACTGCCAATATTACTGGCAAAGAGAGAGGCACCAATCTGGAAAACAGAGGAAGAACATGCTGATATCAGGCTGTGAAATCGTCAGTCTTTTATAAAAATGCAGGATCATGGACATGAGAATGGGAAGGGAACTTTGGGAATATCCAATCCAACTGTCTCCTTTTACAGAAGAGGAAACTGAGGCCCAGAGAGGTGAGAGTTCTTGCCCTAGGTCACACAGCTAGGCAGTAGCAGAGGTGGGATTCAAACCCATCTTTGCTTGGGGCTGTTAATGCTTCTTGATGGCTTGGCCCCCTCCCTTCTGCCATAAGAATAGGCTCCTTTCCACCATGGTCAGTCTGTTGCCTGCCACTGGTTCTTAATCTACTAAGCTGTCATATGAACCTTCTTTCATTCATCTTTCTGTTGAGTCTCTGATGGGGACTGAAAAATCTTGGACAAAGAAATAACACTGAAGAAGAGGCAGAGCAGGGGAATGGAGTCCAGTGGAATCCTCACTGAGCCTCTCTCTCAAGCACATTCCCCCTTTTCCCTCCTTGTCACTGGGAAAGTTCTCAAGGCTCCTTTCCCCTGTATCTCACATTCTAAACAAGGAAACTTAAGAGAAGTGAGTCAAGGTCTGGGTGAGGTCCAAAGGGAAGCCCAGCCTTTCTCCTCTCTTTTTTTATTTCAGATCTGAGCTGGTCTTCCTAAGTCTGAAGCTTGGGAGAGGCTATAGAAAGCCACTGTTCAAATAAATAACTAGGGGATAGTGGCAAATACTCACGGGCCACCATGCCATGTCCCTGCCAGCCAGGAAGAAGCCTCCCACTGTTGCTCGATTGATCTTCAGCATGGCCTGGGTACAAAGGAGAGAATAAGACAAGATGTGAGAGCTGAAGACACAAGAGAGTCAACACCCAGACTATTGAGAGGTGACATCACAAAAAAGCAAAGAGAGATTATTCTCATCAACATGCAGCCATGTTGTGCCATGAACAAATCTCAGTATTTGTTGTTTCATCAATTAGTCCTGTTTGACCTTTCAGTGACCCTATTTGGGGTTTTCTTGGCAAAGACACTGGAGTGGTTGGCAATTTCCTTTTCCAGATCATTTTACATTTGATAAAACCTAGGCAAATGGTGTTAAGTGACTTGCCCAGGTCCGCACAGCTAGTAAGTGTCTGTGATCATGTTTGAACTCAGGTACTTCTGATTCCAGAACCTGCACTCTATTCCAATATGCCTTCATTCAGAAACCTTGAATCACTGAATCTTAAGACTCAGAATAAGCCATCCAGCCCAGCCTCCCTTCCCAACTCTGGTCTCCTTTCTCTTCAAACAGGTTTCAATTATTTATATTCTTAAAAGAGCTAAGCCCTTGAAAGAAGCATTTTGTCTTTGCCAAAAATTCAGATGATCAAATGTGAAGCTAAATTAAGTAAAGATTTATTGCCCTTGAGGTTTTCAAGGAGACATCTAATTTCTACCTGGGTGGCTCAGTCCTTATTACCTGTAGGATGAAATAGAAAGTCTTCTGCTTGGCATTTCAAGCCCTACATGAGCTGTCCCACCTCCCCTGACACTTTTCAGTCAGACTTTGGTCCTTTCCAGCTACACTGGCCTCCCCGCTGCTCCTCAAACAGAACCGTGCAGTTCCCAGTCCTGTACCTTTTCACTGGCTGATCCCATACCTGGATTTTTTTTCCTGTCCCCACCTCCCCCTATTAGCTTACCTGGACTTTTTCAAGACTCAAATCTTAGTTCTGCAAGGTCTTTCACAAAGCTAGAGCCTTCCCTCTGAAAGAACCTTCCTTTCACACAGCATTTATTTGGAATGGATATGGCTGTTTCCAGGTTGTATCCTCCGTTAGAATGTAAGCTCCTTGAGGGCAGGTATGGTCTTTATTGTGGTTTTTGCATCCCTGGCACCTAGTAAGCCTTTTGTTGTTGTTCTTGTTGTTGAGTTGTTCAGATATGTTTGACTCAGTGACCCCTTTTGAGGTTTTCTTGGCAAAGATGCTGGAGTGGTTTGTCATTTCCTTCTCCAGCTACTTTTACAGATGAGGAAACTGAGGCAAGCAGGGTTAAGTGAGTTGCCCAGGGTCACACAGCTAGCAAGTGTTTGAATCCAGATTTAAACTCAAGAAGATAAGTCTTCCTGATTCCAATCCCACTGCTCTATCCACTGAGCCACCTCACTGCCCCAGTAAGCCTTTAATAAATGCTTATTGACTGTCTGATTTCAAACTTGCTTCTGATAATATTTTCTCTTAATGTTATTATGTAAAGAGATGGCTGAGTGGATAGAGCGCTGGGCCTCAAGTCAGGAAGACCTAAGTTCAAATCTGGCCTCAGACGTGCACAAGCTGTGTGACCCTGGATGAGTCATTCGGCCTCTCTTTGACTTAATCCAGTGGAGAAGGAAATGGTGAACCACTCCAGTGTCTTTGCCAAGCAAACCTTTATGGGGTGAGGAAGAGTCAGACGCAGCTGAACAACTGGAAAACAGCAAAGAGGTACTTTGTGGTCATCAAATACTTACATTGCTGATGTAATGAGGGTTCGTATTTTATACAAAAAGTAATAGTTACTGGATCAAATGCCCCAAGCTCTCTCATGCCTCTCAATTATCCACGCTTAGAAAATTGCACAGACAATATAACCCATTGCAATTTACTTTGTCTTTCTGAGCTTCTGTTTCCCCATCTGTAAAAGAAAAGCTGGATTCTAAAACGCCTTCCAGCTTAAAAGGGCTATACTTTGAAACCCCAAGAGCAGGCACACCTTCAGGAGGCACTAGCCTGCCTCTGGAGTTGGGAATCTTAACCTGGGCTCCCCCAAAGAGTCCAGCATCGATTTCAAAGGGTTCAAGAATTTGGATGTGGAAAAATTACATATTTGTTTCAATATAATTGGTTTCCTTCATGATCTTATGCATCTTATTTTATTCACTAAAAACCATTACTCTAAGAAGGGATCCATAGCCTTCAGCAGACTGTCCCACAGAGGAGAATCCACAACACAGAAAGAAGAAGGACCCTGCTCTGGAGGATCAGCCTTACTAATTCAACCTTATTTTAATGACCCAATTTCACATGCCAACTGTGCACAATGGCATATGATGTTTAGCTGGCAACTTCTCAGAGAAAACTAAAGCCACTTGCTCTGTCTTTGCTCATGGGTCACTTGAAGGCCAGTGAAAGGTCTCTTTCAGGACACATGGTAGGGACATTTCAGCTCCAAATTTAAACTCAGTTGCAGAGAATGAGGCTACAATGTGGGCTGCTACATTCTGGGTCTCATTTGCCCTCTCCCAGTTTGTTCTGCATTTCTCTCGCGGTCTAGCAAAATTAAGGAAAAGAAATGTGCTCTGTAAGCCCCCGTGACTTTTCCACACAACAATAGCCTTGGGGCATCATACAGATCTTACAAGTCCAACCACCTCATCTGAGGAAACGGAGATCCCAAAACATTAGATGATTCAAAAGCAGAACATCAACACCGAGCTCTGAGGCTGAGGGCCAGTTCATCCTCCAGTCTTTCATGCCACCCTCAGCAGCAAACTTCACAGTCGATCCAAGTACCCCCCCTTCCATCAGGTAAATAACTCAATCTCTCTGAACTAAATCAATGACCCCACCAGCCAGAGACAGCTCTAAATGCAAGGCACACTGGGAAGAGCACCTGGTCACAGAGATCAGGAGTCTGAGTTCAATCTCAGGCTCTGCTGTGACCTGTGACCCTGGGCAAGTCTCTTATCCTTCCTGCTCCTCAGTTTCTTCCATCTATAAAATGAAAGGATTGGACCAGATTGCCTCCTAACAAGTAAAGAAACTAAGGCCCAGAGAAGTTAAATGACTTAGGATCATCCTATAGAGGTGAAAGGAAGCTTAGAGGCTCCTTCTACCCAAAGCATCACTTGACAGCTGAGGAAACTGATGCACAGGGGGGTGAAATGATTTGCTTAATGTCACCCAGAGGCACTAGTGGGCATCAGAAGCAGGATTTGAACCTACATTATTTGCCTCTGCACGGTCGCCCAAGACAGAGTGGTGTTTCCCACACTGAAGGTATTCAAGCAAAGGCTAGATGGCCAGTGGGTGTCTTATAGAAGGGTTCCTTGCTCATATATAGTTTGGACTGAGTGATTTCCTATCCTCTATGATTTTGAATGAGTCTAATCAGTCACCTTATGTGGGAGGTGTGTCCCCATTTTAATAGAGAGTAAAACTGAGGCTTAGAGAGGAAGAACTGACCGGTGCATGGTCACACTGCTGGTAAATGCCAGAAGTAGGGACTCAAACACAGATTTCCTGTCCCCAACGTCCATTTCTCTCCATCACTCCCTGATGTCTCTCCACATACAAATGTGCTCCGGATGGTTACAAATTGGACATCAGCATTTAGGAGAAAAGATGCTCAGTGCTGTGTTCCCCTGTGGAATCCGGAGAATTCTGACTCCTGCTGTTGGTTACATTTTTACTCTGTGGGGAAGGAGGAAAGCAAGCAGTGAAACTGGCCTCATTGCTGCAGTTGGCTCAGCATGTCCCGCATAGGATGGGTTTGGGGTCAGGGTAACTGGCACAGCGTGGCCAGTCCTGGGGAGAGAAAAGCCTTCCGCGGGCACTGCTCTTCTTCCCTTCACGTGAACGGTCTCATCTGATCTTGAAACAACATGAATGCAGGTAAGTAAACACAAGCTACACGCAGAGTGGTTTATAATCAGGGGACTAAAAACTGGAGGATTAGGATGGAGGTCCAAAATCAGGCTTGAAGGAGGGATTCTAGAGACAGAGATAATCAGGAAGGGCATTACGAGTAGGGGGTACAGGCGATGCAAAGTCATGGAGACAGGAATCATAAAATAGTGAAAGGAGAAGAGCAAATGGGCCAATTTGACTTCACTGGACAGTACACGACAAGGAATAATGTGAAATAAACAGAGAAAGAAAAGCAGGAGCCAGACTGTAAAGGGCTTTAAATGACAAATAGAAGAGTTTTATTCCATGCCAGAGGCAATAGGGAGCCACAGGAGCTTCTTGAATGGGAGAATGACATGATCAGATCTGCGCTTTTAGCTGCATCAATTCAGCAGCCATATGAATGAATAGATTGGAGAGGGGAGACACTGAAAGCAAAGAGACCCAGTGAGATGCTATTGCAATAGTAAAGGAAAAAGGTCATGAGGTATCACACTAGAGTGAAAGGAAAGGATGGATGTGAGAGGAGAACCAGTTGAGAAGAAGGAATTCATAGAGCCTCCTTTTTCTCTATAATATATGAGATGATGTCATCCACTGACAGGGCTGGGTAGGAAAAGGGGGGAAGTGTGAGAGGATCAAGGAGAGAAGACAAGAGTGGCTGTGAAGAGTGAGATAGAGATTCAATTAGGGAGGAGTAAAAGGATTGCTTTGTTGTATGAGGGTCCAGCTGAGATTAGGAAAACGTGAATTATGGTGGACCCGGCTGGCTCAGTTGTATGACTTTCTTCACCTCCGTTCAGTAGCTGGGGTGTCAGGGTAGAGGAAGTGGATGGTGGGGGTTTGGTGAGGCATGAACATTGACAAGAGAAGGGAGCAAAGGATTTGAGAGCATCAGGCTGACCAACCATGGTATCAAGAATTGAAAAGGAGGAAAGGAAAGCCAGACAAAGAGTGATGGTCAAAGGGCCTAGATCTGGTGGAGAGGATGAAGAATAGATTTAGGAGGAGTGAGGGACAAAAAGAGAGATCCTTATAGGAGGTGCTGGTCTCACACAGAGGAATTTCAGAATTGTCCAACCTGAAGATGGAACACTTGTGATATCACACTAGCGTGATCCCTATTGTGTGATTTTGGACAAATCACTTAACTTCCGTCAACTTCAGTTTCCTGATTTTACAGTGATGGGGTTGAACTCTACAGGTCTCTAAGCTCTGATCCAACCCTCCATCTATGATACTGTGACAGTCTTGTGTGGAGTGGAGGAACACGTCATGGGAGTAGAGAAGTCTGGTGACTAGGCTGTCCAGGCTATTCAAAGGGCCATTAACATGCATGTTGAAGTCCCCAAGTATAACGGCGAAGATGATGTGGAGAGGAAGACCTCGAGCCAGGTATTGGACTCCTGGAGGCCAGTTGGTAACTGTTGGCCAGGCTTTGAATTGGGGGAAGGGATTCATTGTATAAATGCCAAAGGAGTCGAGGTAGCTGAGAGATGGTGGCAGAGGGAGGGTCTGGAAGTACTGATAGAGAGCAAGGAGTATTTCCATTCCTCCTCCAGGACCAGTTTCCTGGAAGAAGCAGAGAAGATTCATCTACCCCTGGAAAGAATGACCAGAGATGCAGGATCTCTTGAGGTGGGGAAGGGAGGGAGGAGGAGCCAGGTCTCTGTAAAGACCAGAAGATAGGAGGGCAGCAGGAAGAAGTCTGGGATCAAGGGGAGTTTGTGAACAACAGAATGGGAGGAGGAAGGAGATCAGACAGGAGAATGCAAGGGACTTTTGGAGGGGCATGCTTGAGACAGGTGGTGATGTGAGGGTGGGAGAGGTTTCACGTAAGGGCAGGTAGGTGAGAGGATGTCTGTATCATGTGATACATGATGGTTTAGGAGCTTGAGAGCCATAGAATGAGGATGCAGCACCTTTGTCTGCAGATTCCACCTTCCAGGTATCCATCTATGATAGGGATGGGTCAGTTCTGCTCTAATGTGGAAAGAGCACTACATTTGCATTTGGAGGACTTAGGATGAAATCCCAGCTCTGATACTTACTATCTATTACTCTGGTCAAGTCACTTCACCTCTTCAGTTTCCTCATCAGTAAAATGAGGGGGTCGTGGTAGATGACTGCCGAAGTGCATTCATAAATCTATGATCCTAAGCAGTCATTCCACCTTCATTTGAAGACTTCCGGTGAGACATAACCCACCACTTTCTGGGGCCAGCCCATCTCACTAGGAAGAGCATGTTTTCTCTTCTTCATTTTACAGAAGAGGAAACTGAGGCCTGAAGGAGAAACTTTGACACCTGCCATTTCTACAAAGCTCGGTGCTTTACAGAAGCCCTTCCTTTGCAAGATAGATGCTATAGAAGAGATTATCCCCCATTTTACAGATGAGGAAACTGAGGTTCCAGGAGGGAAAGAGACTTGTTAAAGGTCCCACAGATATGCAATCAGAAGATCAGCCTCTTGATTTTAGGTCCTTTCTACACCCCTACACACACACCTCCCTTCTATCTCCCCACCCCACTGAATACTTTTCTCTTCATTCCCAGACATTCTGTTTCTCCTCATTGACCTGGCATATTGAATACCTTGCCCTGTCTCTTGTTGAGGGGGGAGAAGAAGGACACAGATGTCCAGCCCAGCTGGAATAAATTGATGACACTGCCTCAGCTTCCCCACCTCCAGTCACACTTCCTAAAATTCCACTGTCAAAGAATAGACTCCCTGAATATTAGAGCTAAAAGGAACTTCAGAACAGAGGATGTCCAAGCATGATGACCTTAGAATATGGAATGTCACAGATAGGAGGAGTATTAGGACATGAGATGTCAGAGGAAGAAGTCCATCCCTTTCATTTTACAGTTGAAGAAACCAAGGCCCAGAGGGAGGAAGGGGCTTGTCCCCCAGGTATAAGCTTTGTAGTAAGTGAGAGAGCTCCAAATTCTGTCCCCTTGCCTCCTCCCTGCTGTCCCCCCTTCTCCCCACCAGTCCCCTGCCTTGCCCTCTGCCTGGGACCCCACGTACCCACAAGCCCACAGCCAGAACCACCACGAAGTAGATAACAATAACTGAGATGTCCGCGGCATTCTTCATGCGGTCCGACGAGTGGGGAGGCGCGGGGGTCCCAGCAGAGACACTAGGGCTCACAGTGATGTCCATGGTGACAGCAGCAGCTTCTGTCCTCTCCTCACTGAGGCAGGTCTGTACTCACTGACAGACAGACCGTCTGGTGCCGTCCTGGTGCTTGCTGCTTGCCTCTTTAAGACTCCTGGGCAAGAGCTCTGTCTGCCATCCGTGTTAATGATCAGCCCCAGTCCACCGAGGGGAGGGCAGAGAAGGAGGGCAGGGCAGAGGAGGAAGGAAGAATCCAGAGGGGGAATGAAAGAAGGGCAAAGCAGGGGAGGGGAGTACCCAGGTGGCAAGTGGCAGGTCTTTCTGTTCTCTGGAGGTGAGGGGACAGGGGACAAAGGAAAGGGGAAGCTTGCACAGCTAGTGACCTGTTAAAGGAAAGAGGTTTGTCTGGAGGGCTGAAGGAGAAGGGGGAGTGCTTCCCAGGAAAGGGATGGGGGTGGTAAAGTTTAGAGTAGTATAAATTAGGGAGCAAGCATGCAGACCAAAGTTGGTCCCTCCAGGCTCCTTCAGCCTCACTATCAGGGCAATTAAGTGGGGGAAGGGGGGAGTGTTCGCAGAATTAAACTCTAACTTGAGCCCACAGTGCTGATCAGTCAGAACTCTCCTGACCCTACAGCAGCTTGTGCCTCCCTGGACAAGAAGATGCCAAATGGAGCTTCATGGAAAGGGGACCTCAGGATAGAGACCAGACACTCTTCCTACTCTATGGGGTAGACCAAGGATCACCTCTGAAACCTCCAGCCTCTGCTTAAAGGCCCCCAGTGAGGCAAAGCCTGCTCTCCCACCTCTCTTGGGGGCAGCCCCTTCCTCTTTGGGACAGTTCTCACTGATGTCAGGAAGTTCTTCAAGCCAAAATCGACCTCTTTGCAACTTTACCCCATGGCTCCCTGTGGTGCCTCTCCCTCCCCCAGGGCCTGGCAGAGCAAAGCTCATCCCTCCTCCCCATGGCAGCCTTTCAGATACTTGAACACAGCTCTCCTGAGCTTTCTCTTCCCCAGGCTAAGCATTGCCACTTCCTTCAAATGCTCCTCCAAGGGTCTAGTCTCAAGGCCCTTCCCCATCCTTGCTGCCCCCTCTGGCCATTCTCCAGTTTATCAGTGTCCTCCCTCACCGATGCGCCTACCAAGTATATTGGGTATTATCTTTATCTTTGGGTGTGTATATTTGCCCCCAATTAAATGACATAATACAAAGGGAGATTGGTCACATCCCAAGGTTCCTATGATAGTCAATAGGGGGCTTATCACCAACCAACTCCAGCACCCCCCTGTCTTTGCCCCTTCTCACTCCTGGCATCTCCTGCTTCATTCTCTAAAGGCTTAAAACAAAGGGAACCCAGGCACCTAAAGACAAAATTCCCTGACTCCTCTCCCTGAGTACACCCACACCTGCTCCCACAGATCACTTTGCTACAGGTGCCCTGAGCTGACAGAACCTGCTCTTTGGGTCAGTAGCTAAGCAAGTCAGATGTCCCTAGACATACTTTTCATTTGGGTTGGAGCTAGGTTGCATCACTGACTTCATTGTATTATCTGTTCCCCAAAACTATCCCCTCATCAAAATCTTCCTATTACTCTCAAGGGCACCAGCATCCTCCCAGTCACTCCAGCTCACAATCTTGGTGTCATTCTCAACTCCTTAACTCCCACTCACCCAATGTAGCCAACCGGTGCCAAATCTTGTCATTTATTTCTCAGTGTCTCTTGAATCTCCTTCTTTCTCCCTATTCACAAAGCCACCCTCATCATACCACACCCCCAATTATGGTCCTCACCATCTCTTTTCCAGACTCTTACAGTAGACTCCTAATTGGTCTCCCTGCCTTCAGTCTCTCCCTGCTCCAGGCCATCCTGCCCTCAGCTGCCAAAGTGACTTCCTAAAGCACAGATCTGACTGTGTCATTCCTCTACTCAATAAACTCCAGTGGCTCCCTATTGACTCTAAGACCAACTATGAATTCATTTTATCTAATTCTTTTAAATGTATAATTTTGTGTACATTTTATGTACATAATTAACAGTGCAGCAGGGTGATGTCATGGATAGAGCACCAGCCCTGGAGTCGGGAAAACCTGAGTTCAAATCTGGCCTCAGACACTTATTAGCTGTGTGACCCTGAGCAAATCACTTAACCCTGTCTACCTCAGTTTCCTCCTCTGTAAAATGAGCTAGAGAAAGAAATGGCAAACCACTCCATTATCTTTGCCAAGAAAATCCCAAATGGGGTCACAGAGAGTCAGACAGGACTGAAACAACAGAACAGCAACAAAGCACATGTCTTTAATTTATAAATAAGCATTCAGATATTGTGGGTGAGCACACAAAATTTTTTACACAATTAAAAAAGCTTGGAGAATATTGCCCTAGGCAATACTTTAAGACTACAAATTAAAGGTGATGTGCCTACCTGCAATGGTAAAGTGACTTCCCCCTTCTGGGAGTTCCCTATACTCACAAGTCCAGGCTCTATACTTTTTAGTATCTTATTCTCCCCATCCTTTCCAACAGCTTTCAGACAGAAACATTCCTGAAACAAGTCAATGTCCCGATCTCTTTCTGTGTGAAATATTCCATAGACAACTGTCCAGGTAGACAAAAATAACTTCTTCTTATAGCTCAATAAAAGCATCAGGGTGTCCATTCATTCTCTGTTTAGGGTGTGGGCTGTGTTTAGGGAAGACTAGTACCTCTAGTGTGAGGACTGTTGAGCCCTTTTCAGGGCTGCTTTCCACCTTTGGTGTCCACTTGCTCCACCTAACTCTCCCCTGTGACTCCAAGAAGCTACAGCATGAGCAGTGGTCACGCTCCAGTAAACCATTTCAGCAGACAGAGAAAACCAGGGTGAGGGTAACTGAAGGTTCTCAAACCCATCAGTAAGTTGGGTGGGGGGGAATCTATGCCAAGCATGTGAAGACTTCCCCTGGTGGAATTGGCAGAGAACAATTTGTTCCAAAGGTCACGAAAGCGGCTGAAGTAGGCACTATGGAGCACTTAGAACTTGGTTAGACATCAAAGATGCCAAGGTCCACTGCATCTTCAGCCATCACCAGTCATCTTGACTATGTCCTGCCACTGGATTGTGATGACTCTGGAGGAAAGAGTGAGGCCAATGACTTGTGCAACTCTGCCTCACTTAAATCCAATTTATGCATGAATCAAAAGACATCACTCATACCATTTTACCATTTTTACCTATCTCAAAGCCCTGTAGTGACAGGCAAATGAAGAAGCAGCAGATGCAGATACACTTGGAGCTGCAGTCATAACCTGCACACAGGTGGCCCAAGCCATAGGGTCATCTTCTCACTGGAAGCAGCAGTGGGATTCAGCAGCCCCCTGGGTCTCTGAGCAGCCTTTTAAGGATCACACTGCTCACCTCCTGATGTGATGAAGGGGCTAAAAAAGGTGCTCTCAAAATTGTCTGCTTACCCAACCCTGGCCTGATTACCTTGGCAGGTGGGGATCCCATCCTGTGGTCAAAACACAAAAAAAATATACAAAAACTTCTGCAAAGATGATTCCACTCACCATCAGTGTGGAATGTGTGCACACTTACAGACACCACAGAATCCAATAGACCTGAAAGAAAAATAGTTCTTGTTGCAAGAGAACTCAGGAGGTATTGCATTCAAATAGCAACCCTCACATCCAAGCTGCCATCCAGCCTAGTTGGGAAGCCAGACTAGCTAAGCCTTGGGCTTTCTCTTGACAGGGATGTTGCTAATCTGGTGACAGGGTCCTAGGAGAAAGTGACAAAGGGCTCGATCTTTTGCCTCAACCCTCTGGCTCCAGAGGAAAGCTTTGGACTAGGAATCATGGGTGTCATCATGTTTATAACTCAAAGCAGCCTCAGGGAGCAAGCATTTCATTTTTCAGGAGGAGAATCTGAGGCCCAGAAAGGGCCTCTAGCCCAGGGCTGAACACGATATTCCCTATGTAGCCTGACCAGAGCAAACCTAACATCATTAAGACACCATGGCTCTATGTAACCCTAGAAGTGACTTTCCCAAGGCCACTTATTAGCTGCATGTCTTTGGTGAGTCACTTGTCCTCTCTACATCTCACACTCTCTTCTATGGGATGAGGGGATTGGACCCCACGACCTTTGAGTCCTCAGAGGACTCCCAGCTTTGAATCCTTGATTCTATGATCCTAACCCCATTTTGCAGATCAGAAAACTAAGGCTCAGAGAGAACATGAGAGGGAAAGCTAACACATTAGACAACACAGTCAGAAACCTGAAAGGCCTTGACAAACTGGAACAATGAACCAGATCTACTAATGTGGAAGTTAACTGGGATAAATGTAAACAGATCTCCAAATCTGTGTTGTGTGAGGGGCCAGTTGAGGTTAGAGAATGTGAATTGTAATGGAACCAGATGGCTCAGTTGTATGACTTTCTTCAGCTCTGCTCAGCATCTGGGATGGAGGGGTAGAGGAGGTGGATGGCGGGGGTTTAGTGAGGCATGAACATTGATAGGACAAGGGAACAAGGGAGCTGAGAGCATCAGGCTGGCCAATCATATCAAGAACTGAAAGGGAGGAAAAAAAGAGCCAGAGAAGGAGTGATGGTCAAAGGCCCTAGATATAATGGAGAGGATGAAGAATGGATTTAGGAGGAGTGAGGAACAAAGAGAGAGAAGACACTGGTTGACCACTTTCTGAGTGTGTTTGAAGCCAGACTCTTCTGGAACTCCACCTTGGAGGGTTGGTCTCTGAGATCTCCTTTGAATGAACACACTCAGCAAGTCTACACTGGAGTCACAGAACCTCAGAGTCAGAAGGGGCAACCAGAAGTCATTTAGTACTATTCTTGCTGGAACAATGCCTCTGAGGAATGATCATCCAGCTTTTCTTCTAAACCTCCAGGAGGGGAAGCCCATTACTTCCCAAGACAGCCCAGTCCCCTCTGGAAGAGCTTCAACTATTAGGAAGTTTCTACTTCAAGCTGATATTTGCCCTTTTGCCATTTCTTCTCCCCACCTCCTCCATGACTCCTGGTTCTCCCCTCTGGGGCCAAGAAGGAAATGTCATCAGCCAGATTTGAACAGGTCTTCCTGACTCAAATTTCTTACTTCAATCAGAAGCCTCATAATTT